AGGAATCTCCTCGTCCTCGTGATTCGAAGGGCCAGAGGAAGCCAAGGGCGAAGAAGAACTGGATGAACCAGCAGAGACAGAGGTCGATGAGGACGGCTCAGAGGAGGAGAACGAGCTGGCCTGCGATGGAGATGGAGGGGGATCGTCATCCTCCTGAAGGAGGGTAACTAAGGGCGCTCGAAAGGAAGGAAGAGGAGCCAAAAACTCCTATTGAGAGCTAATCCCACCGAGAGCTATCAACTGACTGATCCAACGCCTAGTAGGGAGAATGCTCGAAAAACACCACGTGATCAGATATACGAAGTCGCCAGTTGGGACAAGACTGCCGAGGAAGGATCCTTACTGCAAAAAGAGCTCATAGAGCGGGTGAGACACAAATTCACCCCCAGAATCCGATTGTAGTATCTTGATGACCTTGCCGAACTAAGTAGAAACCATCAGAATAAACTCAAGAGCCTTTTTATTAAGAAAGTAATCCAAGTGAACCGAGTGAACTGTCAACGAATAGAGCAAAATATTGGAACCTCAGCCAAGCAGTGACAGGAGAAGGGGCCCATAAGTTAGTATGGACCAAATAAAAAGACTCTACATACATAGTAGTACTAGTACCAAAAGATCGTTGAGAAATTTTTGCTTCCACACAGTGAACACACTCATTTTCAGGAATAGTACGAACAGAACCTGACAACCAATTATACTTCCCAAACAATCTCGTTCTATTAGGGTGGCCAACCCAATAATGCAACAAATCTCAGTCCAAGAACCAAACTGGATAACTATTGTTGTGAACAAAGAAAGAAGAATACAGGAAAATGCATGCAAAGAATCAGCCAAAGAGCGTGTACGCCGATCAGCATCACCAAACAGCCCGAGTGTTGCACCTCAATGTCTAGTCTCTCTCCCGATCTCCCTACGCGTCCTCGTGTCCTGCACAACGCAACCATGAGCATCAAATATTACCTTACACCCTTTAGTTGCGAGTTCACCCACCGAAACCAAGTTCGGGATCAATTTGGGAACCTAAAAAGTATTAGACAACTCCAAGCAATTATTAAGAATAATGCCAACACCATCAACAGAGATATTGGAGCCATTAGCTACTTGCAGTTTAATTCCAAAAATAGGACGAACATGAGTAAAAGGAGAAATATCACTGGTCATATGATTGACAACTACGAAATCACGATGCCAAGAGGAAGGAGGGCAAGTGATAGTACCCATAGCAAAATCAGTGGTCGTAGCAGGATAAGCCATCTCCTAAAGGCCCTCACGAATAAGACGGTTGATGAATCGATATTTGCACATGTTTTCCCCTTTGTTTCTTGACTATTTGAGCTTTAATTATCGCGTCTTTGGCCTATTATACGCTAGGTTGTGTTCCTTTATCACATTTCAGGTCCTAGCACATAAAGTGAAGCATAGGCGCAAGTTTCAAGTCAATCAGAGATCAATTGGCGATTAGGGAGAAGAAACTCGGGCATGACCTGAAGAAGAATGGATTTATAACTCACTTTATGGACAAATATTCATGCAATCTTGTCATGAAAAGAAAGAGGACGAGACTACGAGCGTCTGGGATCAAACGGCGACTAATTCGGAGTCCGGACGAGGGAGAAACGAAGCATTGAATATAGGAGAACAGGTTCGGCAGTAAAAACACGGGCTGGCCTAAAGAAAGACACGGCCGTGTCCATATTTAGGCACGACCGTGTTTTGGCCGACGAGGGCCGCTTGGGGCAAAACACGGTTGTGTCCTCGACCGTGTTTTTCCCAGAATCGGGTTTTTTAGGCAGATTGAAGCCAAAGGAAAGGGAGAGTTGAATTTTGGATCCCAAACACCCAAGGGACGAACCAAAGAGAGAGAGGGCGATTTGAGGGCATTCTTGGAGTGGAACTGGAGGATTTATTCGCCTAGGAAGCTCGAGGAACAAACCCGGACTTGAAGACTGATCATCTGAAGATTCTTACTGCAGTCTCTCTCTTCTCTATGGAGTAACTTCCCTTCACTTAGGTTTTGAGGAACCCTAGCTATGTTTGTTTGATTGGATGATTGTATGAGTACTCTGACTTGATAATCTTGAGTTCATATTCAATCTATGCATGTTTTCATGATTCAATTCTGCTTTAGTCGAGATTATTGATTCTGCTTTCATCCTATGAGAGCGAATACCTGATTAGGTCAATAGAGCACCTTAGATTGATAGTAGTGGATCGATTGCTTTAGTCGAGGGTTGATTCACTACTTTGTATCGATTGAGAACCTCATTCGATAGAGGGAATCTAGTTCAGAACGCCTTGATCGGTTGTTCTAGAGAAGAATACGTCCCTCTAGGCAATTGACTCAAGAGGGCCTTGTTCCTTTAGTCGAGACTCAAGGTCTAGTCAAGGATTCTCCGCATTGTGAATGAAAGTGAAACAAGTTAGAAATCATCAATCGTTAATCTGGCTAGTGGCTAGGGGGAATCATACCTAAGTGAGTTCCCAACATGTAATTAGATTAACTTTAACTATAGTTTGCTAGAGTAGTTTTAGTTCTTCCTTATTAATCTTGTTTGCTAAATAATGAACTGAAGCTGAGTAATAGTAACTCTAGAGACCCGTGGATTCGATATTTATTACTTGAGCCACTATACTGCAGTCCCTTCCATTGGTTACACTTGGCCATTGTTAGGAGTTATGTCATAGCCAGTCAACGACATATATCATCTTGAGACACTCTGGAAGAGCCAACCTAAACATTGAAAGCGGATGCAGCTGGCGGAGCATAGGTTGTAGCGTACGCACCCCTAGATGGAGTACAACCAGTAGCATGACAAGGCCTCGCGAAAGAAGGTCCATTGCTTGGCGTGGTAGAACGAGAACCAGGATAGCCAACACGAGATCGACCACAACGTGCAAGGATCGGACAGCAAACATGAACGTGAAGGTCCACCGCTTGGCGTGGTAGAGCGATGCCTTGTAATAGTTACACGCCACCCATTTCGGACAACAAACATGAACGTGACCAGGCTCCCCACAATGATAGCAAATGATTTCATAGAAGGGAGTACGGCCAAACTGTGGACGACCAGACTGCACAACAAATGCAGCACCATAATAAAAAGAAAGGAGATCTAGTTTTGCTTGACTACACAGACGGGTTTCTTCACGAACCAGCTCACCCAAAACCTTCTCAATGGTGGAAATATTTTGATGAATCAGAGAGGACTGAATCCCCTCAAAAGCAGGATTAAGCTTCATTAAGAAATGCATAAGATGAGAAGTAGTACGATCTTTGAGGACTTCAGCCAAAGCAGCATTCGGCATCAAAGAAGCTGTTAAGAGATTTAGTTTTGTCCATAAGTTGAGAGCAGCTTAATAATAGGATCTGACATCCAAGTCTCCTTGTTGTAATGAGGAAATTTCGACCAGGAGTTCAAATTTCCGAGAAGCTTTAGCCGGTTAGTGAATATCACAGAGGTGCTTCCACATCCCCGCGACCGTAGGGAAGGATCTTAAACTAAGAGCCATGGACGTCTCCACTGACTTTAGAATCCAGGAGATAACTTGAGCGTTCTCAATTACCCAATTCGTGCGAGCCTTTGCTATAGCAGATTCACCCGACACCTGAGATGACCCATCCAAGATTGGCAGGAGGTGCTGCCCTTGTACATATACCCGAACTGCATCTCGTATAATGTGAAAATTTTCCTATTCAAACGTGCAGAAACCGCTTCAACTTAGAACCCTCCATGAAGCCACAAACAGTAACCTAGAAGCAAGAACAAGGAAACCCCAAGAGAGCAACATGTAGGCTGGAGAATAGAAACCCGAAAAATAGACCCCAACTACACAATACCGCAAGCTGGAAGGGAGTCCAAGAAGAACCAATAGAATATCCCAATAACTCGATACAACTGTGGCTAAACGAAAACCAGAGATAGATGCTCGGAACAAGAGCGACAGCTGAGAACACCAACCAAAAACCCGAGAGAGGTGCTCGGAACACGAACGACAGCTGAAAAACAACAATCGAGAAGCGTCTGCACAAACCACGAATGACAGACAGCCAACAAGCGCACAAAATACCGACGAAAAATTCAGAGAGGTTTTGATACCATGTTAATTTGATCAAACCTAGAAGATTATGCAACACAGAATACCGAGATTACGTGGTTTTCCCAACGATGTTGATCATTGGGACTAGTCCACGAGAGAAGGTTGTAATTTCTTATTCACGTTCACTGAAGCTTAGATAGGCCCAAGCACTTCACCAAGATATATATACTCGGCCTCCCTACTCCCTAACCCTTGTCAGAAAAGGAAAATTACGTACATCGCTAATTACAAAAAGGTACTTAAACCTTGAACTTTTAACACACTTTTGGTTACATACCTTGAATAAAATAGGGTAAATAACAAAGAATTATTCTTGGAGTCATCGAAAATGAAGATTCGAACCTTTTTAGCCCGAAGCCAATGTGAAGCACAAGAGAAAATAGTGCACAAATTAATATATAAAAGAGATAGGACGAAATGAAGAAAAGAAAGGTACAACGAAACCAGAGTAGGGGTGGGAATCTGGTCCTAATTTTTTGGATCAAACTAAAAATCAACTAATTTAAATACGAGTTGGGACCAAGTGATTTGTTTCAGTTCCAACCGGACACTCATCCACCCAATTCGATTTGTACTTTTAGTGTCAACACAAAAACTGGTACGTTATGATCCGGTTAAAAGTGACCAGCCGTATTGCAAAAAAGCCTAGCAAAGATCACTACCCAAAGCCTACCAAGTGCCACCAACCACAGCTCACCAACACCTGAGACCAACCCCAAAATTGCAGCTGCTAACCTACTAACCCTAATCCTTCCCTCTGACCCTCTCGAATTTTGATCTCCCTCCGACCTCTAAAACACTGCCTCACTCAATCCCCTCTCAAACACTCGAACTACCCAAATCCCCTCTCGATCTCCCTAAATCCTTTCCTCTACGAAGCACCGGGTGACGAGCAATCACGAATGTCGCCGACGACAAAGATCTCTTACTTATCTGCTCGCGACGGTAACGACGACGAAGGAAGCATGGAGCTCTCCTACCTGGCCTCCGTGTCAAAGAGCATATCGAAGACTATCAAAAGACTCATCTTACACATTGACTCTGTTTTGTACTCGTCGCCTCCACTGTATCACCACTACCAGGGTTGGAAAATGAACCGCTCCGGTTAAATTGGACCTGATGAACACGTATTTTTTAAACCATATTTTTTGTCATATTAGTAACCGATAATTGGATAGGATGGGAATCTGACTTCAACTATGACCGGACTAGACTAGGTCCGGTATGGTCTGGTTTCAACCAAATACCACAAAACTCCCCCATCTCTCAATACATTAGTGTTTAATTCATTATACCAAATGTAAGATAGGCTAACGGTAAAGCTGCCGCAACAGTGAAGGTTTGAGAGTTGCAGATTTCAGGTTCGAATTCAAGCGAGGTCTGTTGGTGTTCCCTGAGGTATAAGACTGCTGAGGGCGAAGCCCAGTTGATGTCAAAATTGAATACAGGTGGGCCCCAGACTTAGAAAGACTCGCTGTTACAAAGTGACATGCGTGGTTGAAGTTCCTTGGTAATAAAAAAAAATTATTATATTTAAGAAATCAACAAAAAATGGGCCAATGATTAGTGTTTCCCCACTGTACAATTCCTATCTTCTCCCTCTGCCTATTCTGATGCAAGATCGCCAGGTCGATTTAGGATTAGTGTAGTGCTGTGAGAGATGGAGACTAAAAAAGGAAATGGAAGAGATATGGATGAAAGAGGGAAGATGAGGAATTGAGGATTGTAATCTGGGTTCAAGAGGCAGAGGGAGAAAATAGCAGGGACCAGGATACCGTACCGGACCGGCCGGTCGGACCGGAAAAACAGGAAACCGGACCTGGCCCGGCACAACATAGCCTGTGTATCATCCAAGAAGCTGCCGGCCGGTTTTTACGGTTGGACCGCAACCGGCCGAAATTTCGGCCGGTTTTATTAAAACCGGCGGTCCCTTTAATTAGCTGAAACGGCGCCGTTTTGACCAAGTAAAAAAAAAAAAGGAAGAGAATTAGATAAGCAGCGAAAGTCGAAACCCTACTCTCCTCTCGTCTCCCCCGCGCCCCTCTGCCTTTCCATCCAAAATCCAAATTCCTTTCCATCCTCTCGTCTCCCCCCGCGCCGCTCTGCCTTTCTCACCACCGGCGACGGCGCCTCGCATCCTCTCGTCTCCCCCCGCGCCGCTCTGCCTTTCTCACCACCGGCGACGGCGCCTCGTCCTCCCCAGCAACGGCGCCTCGTCCTCCCCGGCATCGGCGCCTCGCATCCTCTCGTCTTCCCCCGCGCCGCTCTGCCTTTCTCACCACCGGCGACGGCGCCTCGTCCTCCCCGGCAACGGCGCCTCGTCCTCCCCATTTTCTCAATCAAAAGTCCAAACACCACCGGCGAACACAACCACCACCAACCGCCATATTTAGTAAGATATTATACTACACTTGTTCCATATTTAGTAGACAATGACAATCCAGATTCATGGCGCCGCCGGAGGAGAAAGACGGTTCGGCTGCTCCAGGTGACCTCGGCGACTCGTCCTCCCCAGCAACTCGTTCACACTTCACAGCCGCACCGCGCCGGAGGAGAAAGACGATTCGGCTGCTCCAGGTGACCTTGGCGACTCGTCCTCCCCAGCAACTCGTTCACAGCCGCGCCGCGCCGGAGGAGAAAGACGGTTCGGCTGCTCCAGGTGACCTCCTTCCCCCTGCTCCAGGTCACTAATAATTCCATCCAAAGAAAATCGAAGAGCAAGGCTAGGAAAAAACTGTCGATACAAATTCCATCTTTCTTTCTGCTATCTGGCTGCTGTGCTACATAGCAACTGTAAAGGATTAGATTCAATCCAATATTCTAACCTAAATTCAAATAGAGAGAATTATATTCCACTTGCTCCAGTTCAATTATTGGCTAAATAAATTGTGGTTTGTGGAACATTAAGCTTGTGGTTTTAGTACTAGTTTCTAAAAATGTATTTGGATGATTATGAGGTTTATTAGGTATTGAAATCTCGCACTTTGTTGAATGTTACCTAAGCTTATTTACTCTTTTACAGTTTCTTAGGCGGTATAATCCGGTTTTATTCTGGTATTTTCCCGGTATGGTACCCTAATTTTGTCGGTACGGTTTTTTACAAAAAAATAATTTTTTTATTTCAAAAACGGTATTTTCCGGTAGGAAACGGTTGAACCATGGTTGTACCACGATTTACCATGCCAAAAACGATTCCGGTTTGATGTCCGGTACGGTTTCGTAATCCATGGAAAATAGGTATTGTGCGGTGGAGAATCCTATTTAGCGAGGTATTCTCTTTTGTAGATTATACAAACTCCACTTTGGAATTCTATTTCGTGAACGAATTTCAAGAGTGATTGGCTTCTCTTGCCGGCCGCCGGCCAGTGCCGGCAGGAAATTAAGAACCAATTTGTACGTCTATAGGAAATATAATAGCAAATTTTGTGAATGATAATATAATAATTGTCTTTTATGAAGCTGATACTACTTTTATACGTAGAGACATAATGTAGACAACTGGAGTTATACAACTACAAGCACACGAAGGGCTGGATATAATATATATTTGCTAATCATATTTATGATCGATCGGCTAATGACTACCTTTCCCTTTTAAACTTAAGGAAATCTAGGGAGCTACTTTTTGTGATTTAAAGGGTATGCAAAATTTGCAAATAAGTCTGCCTAACTCATAAAATGTTTTCAAAGTGATAGAGCCAGTTGTTTTTAGCCATATTATCAATCAATATTTGAATTGAACAAGCCGATCACAACCACAAAATAAAATAAAAACTCATCAAACTTTGTGGATTTAATAAAAGGGTTTTTCTAGTTACCAAATGAGTAACCTTTTTACTATTATTCAGACCCACAAATATTATTTTGAGTAGCGAAACAAGACTCGCAACCAACAATCTGGTGAAAAAAATAGCTTTCACTTCGCTCATCCAACAACTCACCATTACGGAAATTTGCCAGAATCACCTCAGCATCCCCAAGGAAAGTGGTGAAAGTTCACCCTCTATCAACACTCCAACGAAAGGCATGTCACAAAACCAACAATACAACCAAAAATAGATAATCCATTCTGTCGGAGCGCCTAGCCATGGATCTGCTGCTTATACGTACAGAAATGCATAACCACAAAACTCGATCTGCTTATACGCAAATGCATATCCAAGAATTATACACCTCACCTAGACCATTCATAGAAAAGAAATATCTAAGTCAAACACATTTACGACATCCAAATTACCAAGAACTAGACACAAAGAATTATACAGGGATGTCAGGATATTCCCCGTATAACCTTAAACAAGATAACAAAAGGAAAAAGAGACATTTCATCTCACACAAAAACAAACACTTCCTTTGCCCAAAAAAAACTAACGAAACATTGTCCGTAGGGTTTACAAAAACATTTTATTTTGTTTTAAGAACTATAACTCTTTCTCTCCATCCTGACCCGGGACCGCTCCTTCAGCCCATGAAGCTGCATTTGCCACACCGCTCTCGACGACGAGCACTCCCTCCGCCGCGGCCGCCCACTCGAGTTTGTGGTGCTGAGCTGGTAGTCGTAGACCAGACGGGAGGCCGGGTCGGATAGCGTCTCGTAAGCCTCCCGGATCTCCAAGAACCGGCGGGTCGACTCTTCTTTCCCGGATGCGGGCCGGACGTCCGGGTGGTGCTGCCGGGCCAGCTTTCTGTAGGCCTTCTTTATCTCCTCCGGCCCGACACTTTCCGATGAGAGTGACAGCACTTGGTACAAATTGTTGGCTCGGCAGGAGATGGAGTTGAGCCGGTTTGGATGGGTTTGTTGGATTGGACCAGTTTGTAGGAAATGGTGGGAATTGAATTGGAGAGAAAGATCCATAGTGGGTTTTGGACTAGAGAGAGAGAGAGAGAGAAGGAAAGGAAGTAGGTAATATGTTTTGGAAGTTGTAGAGCAAATGATGAAATGATTGATGAGAAGGAAGGGCTGGTAGAGGTCTTTTGTATATAAAGGGAAATATTGTTGGGTTTAGCCGTTTAGGCATGAAGAATGGCCTCTATTAAAAAAGGATTGCTTAATTGTATGAGGCTGTGGCCTGTGGTAGATGTAGAATACTTAATTTTATAGAAATATATGTTAGAGACGTCTTAGTTTAAGATAAGCTTTAACCCACTTTGCACGCATTTTGATTGTTAGATAATAATAAATAGCGCCTAATTGCTTAAGGGGTCCAGTGGGCTGCATGCAAGTGTACCGTACGTATCCTACAGTCCAAGCGGATCACCTTCGGTTCATGCACTTTCTTGATCGCAGCCGTCGAATCACAACCCCGGACTTCGTGCACCTTTCCAGGTCTTCTTCTCCAATCTCCCTGCGTCGTCCGACTGGCGGCTGCCCAAGTTTGCATTTTCCATTAGCCGATGATCCCCCCCTTCTCGCCGTTTCGTCTCTCGACCATGACGGTTTCGCACCTGCTTTCCCCAATTACCCAGCCCGTTTCCCTGGCCGCTGCCCGAGTTTGGGACACTCCTTCTCCCTGCTCAGTGGTATTCCAGGCTATTCTGGATCCCATCTACAATGCTTCATCGAGGGAGGGGAATTCGAAACTGGGAACTTCGTTTTCGTTCCTCCGTGGTCTCCGTTTGCCACGCTCAGTTGTTAACACCGTCGTCGTCAATGTAAGTCGACCGTTCTCCAGTCGCCACTCCTCACACGTCACCGTGGACGCCGTCAATTGTTGAATTCAACAGCTTCAAACTGCTGTTGGCATCCGTTGTTAACCCAGAGTAGAGATGGTGTGATACCCAAATTTGGCCTCAGAAAGTGTAGCCGGGATGATCCCCACATTTTCATTTATCCATGAGCTCGCTCGGTAAGCCCTCCTTCCCTAACTTGCTGCATGTTAGTGTTTCTTTATTGCTTGAGAAAGCTCAGGGTCAATATATTTCTGCCATAGATTGTCTTCTTTGAATGGATGATTCTCTCATAACCATCTATTGGTCCCCAGTTAATAAAGTGGTATCCTTAAAGAGACGAATTTGGGGTCTGCATTTGTCCCATCTATGCTTTGAATAGTTTTGGTTGAGATTTGCTACCTCTCTGCAATCTTTGCATCTGGTAAGCAGATCCGTTGTGTAGTGAATTTATGGAAGGGAGCATGCGTATGTACATTAGGTGATCATTCTGATTGTGTCCACAGCATAAGGAACTTGCTTAAGTTTGGTGGCTAGAAGCTGGAGAACAGTGTTGATTATGTCATGGGGTTCACTATAATCACATCTGTGTTTAGTCCTATAGCATTAGTTCAGTTCATTATAACTTATAAGACCCACTTTAGACTCTTCCTTTTACAGGAGAGGGAGGCATTATGATTTAAGAGTTCCAACATCAGGATTCTCCGCAAACATAATTACTACTAGCTCTGAAAGATTCTCTTACAAACCTAACTTAGCCTTTTGTTGTATTGGGAAATTGCAGGTCAATCCAAGCTCTCTCTATTCCTCAGCGGGATTTGAAGAGAGATTGAGATCAAGTCGTGAATGGATGCAAAGGGGAAAATGTGTTTTGGTTTGGAAATTATATTTTCTGTCAAGTTAAATTGGAGGAAGGACTACTGAATGGTAGAGAGAGTGATTGTTCCATACACATGAAATGTGCATATCCAGCTTCGTTTTGTTTTTGTTGGGGAAATTGATGTCTCAAACTCCTTCAGGACAATTGTGGTAGACTATTTTATCCGAATGGTATGTTAGATATTTCACAAACGTAAGAAATTATGAAAAACTATGTACTTAATTACAAAAGCTTTTATACTAGCTTGCAAGTGTATCTACTATCCACAACCAATTATGTTGTTTTATCATCAATTATAAAAATATGGTTCCGCCGCAAAGCGCGGGCCAATTTCCTAGTATTATGTTATAGGGTCAAACTAAATTTAGTTGTTAGTTTCAAATAAGTCACGAGACTTAAAATTAGTTACAATTGGGTCAATCTCCCAATTAAGGAGGACAATTCCATCAGGAGTTCTAGCCCGTAGATTAAAAATTATGTGATGATTTAGCATTTTAGGTAACACGAAGTTAATAATCATTATGTAAGGCTTAGCTTCTATATTGACACTTCACAACTGTTATGTAAAATACACATCTATTGCGTAAAGGTTACGAACAATAGTTATTTTAAATGTAAAAGTTAAATTATAAACGTTAAGTAAGACTTCGATAATAACTTATCATTTTACGTAACAGGAGGTTAACTGACGTAGCGGAAACGTCAAGCCAAGTGTAAAGCGCCAACTTGGAACTGTATCTCGGTTTGAAGAACCAACCGAACACTGAAACTCAGTTTGAAGCACTAACTGAAAACTAAACGCCAAGGATGAATCGATGTCGCCGAACGAACTGGAATTATTATTATGCAAAACTCGTCTCTATTTTGTTACTTAAACACATGGCCCTAGAGCCTATTTATAATAAACAACCCAAGCTATCTCTACGCACACCAAACACACAAGGAAAGTAAACCATCTACGTAAACAAATACGAAACCAACTAAGTAAACAAACAACTACTAATCCGACAAAGAAAAGGAAGACAACAGCTCATGCATCAGGCCCCTCCACTTGGAATGACACTCGTCCGCGAGGGATCTGGGTAGAGAGGTTCATCTGCCAGATAGTAGGGAAAGATGTCGGCCACGTTGAAGATATTGGAAATGCCGAATGAAGGGGGAAGCTCAATTTTGTAGGCATTATTGTTGATGCGATGAAGTACCTTATACGTGCCATACTTTCGGGGCTGAAGCTTGTGTTGGAAATTTGGTTGAATCAGACTAATCAAGTCAAATCGGTTTTGGGTTGGAAATATTCTTTTCAGAAAGTGAATGTTGTTCACGACTCTATCACAATCCTGGTCACCCGGTATCGGGCTATCGTACGTATACCCTCTTGCCTAAAAGTCCCAATAGCTTGCCAGACGCTCCAGCAGCTAATCTCTCCTTGCGTAAAAATATCATAACATCACCCCCTCCTTCAGATCTTATCACGACGATGCAAATCTGCAGCAGTCTTGTACTCTACTGTCGTCTTCTCCAACTTCTCCCGAACCTGAGTATGCACATCCCGGATTTGTTCTGCCAAGTTCGAGGAATGCATAGGCAATTACCCTTCATGAGGAACCCATCCCATATATAAAAGCCTCCAGGCGGCTGATGGTTTTGGTAAGAACGTACGCCAAACTTCCTTGAAGTCTTCATCACCTTAATATAGATGTTTTAGCTCATCGAACCCAATGATCTCTTGACGCATGAACGCCAGCACCTCTGCCCGTCTACTAAGAGCATCGGCCACCACATTCTAATTCCCCGGCTTATGGATGAGTTTTACCATAAACTTTTGTAGATATCAAATCCATCACAAGTGCATCAGTCTCGGCGGGCGTTTGCCATTAGTAATGTGCTTCAAAGCTTGACTGTCGATGTAGAATATGAATTCCTTCCCAATAAGGTAATGCTCCCAATATCTAAGCGCTCTAATAACCCCGTAGAATTTTTGCTCATAGGTAGACCAATGGCAACGAGCAGCACTAAGCTTCTCACTAAAATAAGCTATGGGACACTTTTCTTGCGTTAACACAATCCCGATTCCAATGCCGCAAGCATCGCAATAGGCTTCAAAGAGCTTGTCAAAATTCGGGTGTGCCAGCACAGGAGCAGAACATAGTCGAGCTTTGAGTTGTCTGAAGCTTGTTTCGGCCTCTTTCGTCCACGCGCCTTTTTTCTAACAATCCGACATGGGAGCAGCAATAATACTGAAGTCTCTAATGAAGTACCGATAAAATGATGTCAAACCAAGGAAACTACGAGTTTTAGTGACTGATTTTGGACTTGGCCACTCCCGTATTGCTTTGATCTTATCTTCATCAACATGAATCCCTTCTTGGCTGACCACGTATCCCAAAAATAATAATTTTTTAGTCAGGAAATGGCATTTCTTCTTGTTGGCATACAAGTGATTTTGCTTTAGAGCCACCAAAACCTCTCGTAGATGCTCCAAGTGAGACTCCTTGTCCGACTATAGATTAATATATCATCAAAATATACCACCACTGATCTTCCCAAAAATGGTTTGAGAACTTGATTCATCAATCGCATGAAAGTACTTGGGGTGTTACTTAAACCGAGAGGCATCACCAACAACTCATATAGTCCCTCCTTCGTTTTGAATGCTGTTTTCCACCCGTCTCCTAGCCGAATTCGAATTTGGTGAGAGCCATTCTTCAAGTCCAGTCGACTTGGTCCAACATGTCATCTAATCGAGGAATCGAAAACTTATCCCCAATAGTGATCTTGTTAATTGCCCGTCTATCAACACACATTCTCCAACTACCATCCTTCTTTGGAATTAGGAGAGCTGGGACTCCACATGGGCTTAAGCTTTCTCGAATGTGGCCCTGGGAGAGCAACCCTTCAACTTGATCTTGGAGAATTTGACTTTCTCGGGTACTCATCCGAGATTAGGCAAACTAACACCAGGGACTAAGTCAATTTGATGTTGTATATTCTGTAGGGGAGGAAGACCAAGTGGTAATTCCGCGGGCATAATTTCATCAAATTCCACCAGCAAGTGTTGCACTTCTTTCGCAGGCTTTGGAGTTGCGGCAGGTTTCACCATCTCTTTCACCGCTAAGAGGAGTACTTCTGTACTCTCTTTTAAAGACATCCCAAAGGTATGCCCATCTTCAATTGTCAGCACCTTTTAAAGGCTTATTCCCTGGTGGTCTTTCGTCCTTAGTACCCCATGGTATTAAACGATATTTCATCCCGCCATGTCGAAATTGATAGGTATTCTTGCGCCCATCATAAATTGCAGCGATGTCAAACTGCCAAGGACGTCCTAAGATAAGATGGTAGACATCCATATCCACGATATCACAGGTGATGTTATCCTTGTAGTTGCCGATAGAAAAATAGAGGGCGCATTGCTCCGTGACTTTAACTTCACCGAATGATTTGATCCAACCCAAATAGTAGGTCTTTGGATGACGTTTAGTTTAAAGCCCCAAGAGCGTGATCACCTTTCATCTTCTTGTTTTGGTGCTAAGAGGATTCTTCGAACAACACAAGTTGAACGCTCCTCCTCTTCCTCTTCCAAAGCTCCGTTAGGTCCGTATTCCTCCTCCTCACTTTCCTCTTCCTCCGGATCATGGTCGAGGATTGCTGTTAAGTTGACATTCTTTCTTTTTGGGCATTCACTAGATATGTGACCTGGTTGTTTGCACCTGTAACACTTCCCAACTGGCGGTCGATTGCTTTTTGATTGTTTATAACTTGCATCCACATCCCTTTTGGAAGTCACCTTTTCATGGGCCAATTGCTTTGTGGTGGTCGAACTTGAAGATGGATTTGGGAATTTAGCATTAATTCCCTCGGCCTCTCGAAAGTTACATCGATTATTTTCCTTCTTCTCTTCGACCTCAATTAGTTATGCACGTAGGGCGTAGGTCTGGGCGTCAGCCATGGATGGCATAGCTTGTACTCCAATGCGTTGGCGAAGACTTGATTTTAATCCGCTAAGGTAACGTGCCTCCATCTGCCCCTCAGTTTCACCTAAGCGATTACGCTCTGATAAGCTTAGCCATTCAGAAGTGAATTCCTATACTGGACGATTTCCTTGAACACAAGAGTTATGTTTTTGAAAGAGAATGGTCATAATCCGGTGGGAGGAAACACTCTTCCATTAGTTTCTTCATCCGTAACCAGGACCGTATTGGAGCTTCTCCGAATTCTTCTCGATCAAACTCGACGCAATCCCACCAAACTGAGGCGCTGCCCTCCCGTCGATAAGCTACCATCTTAACTTTGCGAGTCTCTGGAATTTCGGCATAGTTGAAGAATCACTCCACCTTGGCTATCCAATCTAGAAAGTCCTTGATTCCTGCAGTGTCGGCGAAACTAGGCAAATCGGCTGGCAGTTTGAATTCATCGCCAACCCCATGTACGCCATTACCCACATGGAATCCTCTGAGCGCACCATACTGTCGGGGTTCTTCAACATAATCTCCCCATTCAGGAGGGGGATTCGGATCCCATGGGTCGTGATAAGGACCCAATTGGTTTCCTCTACCCCCTAGGTTCTCTATGAATCGTTGTCCCACTCCCCGAACTCTTCCACGTCCCCGCATGTGGTCGCGTTGCTCGTGTGCCCTTCGCCATTCCTGCATATATGGATCATGATGTTCAGCTTGTGGTTGATTTACTACTTGACGTCCCTGATTTCGCCGATTAGGATAGACCTGCTCCCATACTTCCTCCTCATCGGGCTCGACGTCCTCATACATGTTTACGTGTGCTTGACGTTGGCGTCGTGGATTTTCAGGCGGAGGTCCACCTCGTTCCCTATTCCCACGATCCCTTAACCCATTAAGGAGGGTTTGAATATCTTCCACCGATCAAAAAATTTGGGTCATCTGCTGACCTAGTTCTCTTGTGGCAGCCTGTTGGTTGCGAATGGCTTCCAAACTGCCGGGAAGTTTAGATGTTCAACTACAGGCTCCGCTGTCTCAATCGCCTTGTCTGCCATTGATTAGGAGAAAAACACACTGTGCTCTAATACCACCTGACGTAGCGGAAACGTCAAGCCGAGTTTAAAGCGCCAACTAGGAACTGTATCTCGGTTTGAAGCACCAACCGAAAACTGAAACTCAGTTTGAAGCACTAACTGAAAACTAAACGCTAACGATAAATCGATATCGTCGAACGAACTGGAATTATTATTAAGCAAAACTCGTCTCTTTTCTGTTCCTTAAACACATGGCCCTATAGCCTATTTATAATAGTCTCTACCACCAGGGGGTCAACCACACCCTAAAAAATCAACCCTTTCGCTTCCACCACAGTGCCACTTCTATCCTTCATGATCAGCCCTCCCGCTAAATGGGAGCCAGCACAGACCGCACCATCCCACATACAGACAAGAGGAGCCCTATCCTCCTCGCCCCGATCATGCCGAGAGATAACCCGGTCCACGATCAATCGTTCCTCTGGCAATGACACCCACTCAGGTACCTGCTGATGATATTGGTGCATCAGCTGGGAAACCAAGAATTGCTTGCCCTCAAAGGCTACCCAATTTCTTGATTTCCAAATACGCCAGAGGAGCGCTACCAAGGCCATAACATGATCTAGCTGAGTCAATCGAAGCAAACAGCGCTTGAGGAACAACGGGAAAGTGTGTCGAGGAAGATCTTGGCCCAAATGCTCCAATCTCGAATGTGCCTAGAGAGTTTCAGCGACTGGACACTCCCAAAACAGGTGCTCCATAGTTTCAGAATATGCCCAGCACACCGAACAACGAGGCAATATCTGGACCCATTTTCGATCAAGGCTTCTATGGTGGGCAAAATACAGTGACAAATTTGCCAGAGGAACAACTTAAGCTTAGGCGGGATTTTAAGGGCCTACATTTTCATCTAACTTGCTCTATCCATCCAACTCACTCGGTGGCGTCACGCCCCCCCCCCCCCTCCCCCGTTTATCCATCAACACCGCTAGGTGATAGGCGGATTTGACAGTAAACACACCATCACACGTATCATGACATACTAACTTATCCTCAATACTCATACGACTAGGCAGGGGAATTGCCAAAATCTCCCGACTAACTTTTGGAGGAAACATCTGCTGAAGTGCCTGGCGACACCACCCCCCTTCCACAGGATCAATTAGCTCAACAACTTTTGGATCAGAGTCCTCCGGTATTACTTGAGGCTTACACATCAGAGGGTAAGGGTGAAGCGCCGGAACCCAGCTAGAGTTCTTAATAGAGATTTGTACACCATTCCCCAATTGCCAACGAAGGCCTTGCTGAAGGAGAGCACGACCATGAAGAATGCTCTCTCTCTCCCCCCCCCCCCCCCCCCCCCCCCCCCCCCCACGACGGACGGGATCGAGCAATCGCCATGAGGAAAGTACCTTTCGGGAAATATTTACCCTTATAGATCTGAGCCAGGAGGGAAACCGGCTCATTGAGGATACGCCAACCAATCTTCGCCAGGAGAGCTTGATTGAAGTGTTCAAATCGTCGAAACCCCGCCCCCTCCCCCCCCCCCCCCATCATGTTTACTTGTGCATAAGTTTCGCCAAGAAATCCATCGAACCCGCCGACGATCCCCTTCCACCCTCCACGAGAATCTAGCAACATGTTTATCTAGAATACGACAGAGAGCAAGCGGAAGTTTAAAGCATGACATTACATGCAGCGGTAAGGAGAACGCAATTGACTTAATCAACGTCTCAATGGCCGCTCAAGATAGCACTTTATGCTTCCATCCCTGAAGCCTTTCCAATAACTTCTCCTCCAAATACCGGAAGGTAGCCACCTTTGACTGAGCAATCAGAGTGGGAAATCCGAGGTATTTATCCTGGACACCCACCGCACCCACACCAAGCCGGGCAGCTAACGCTTCTTGGTCCACGAGCAGAATATTTTTGCTAAAACAAACCGCAGATTTTCCAGATTTACCCTCTGGCCACTAAGCTCCTCATACTCGTTCAAGACCACCAACAAATTCTCATACTCCTGCATTGATCCTCTGAGACACCATTAAATCAAATAATTATAATGGAGAAATTTATTACCAGTTCATACAATGTTCACACATGGTAATACATTAGATTATAGTACGCATTATGGAAGTGTATCATGGTTGTATGAACACACCAGAACGTACAATGGTTGCAGATATCTCAGTGGCATAGCCAGGATTTCACTAAAGGTGGGTCTGGCGTGAAAATAAAAATATATAAAATAAATTTTAATAATATATAAATGATCCATTATGCATTTTCATATTTTGACTGATTTTTTTGTTTGAAGGTGGAAATTTTGACACTGGATTATAAATTACTACACTCATAATAAATAACTAGAGAAATAGTTTTATGTAAAATCTAAAGTTACATAATATGAAAGGTTAGGATGAGCCTATGGTGACATGCATGTCAGCGTAACTTGAACTTTTTGGTCGATCTCAGTTAGGATTAGGTCGACCTAAAATGTTTATCAGTGTGAAAACAATTTCATGGTGCCTACTATTTGAAGATTTATATTTTACAATTGGCTTGATGGAAATTGGAGATTAATGGTTTGTTTTGAAGCTAGAGTGTCCCTCTACACATTGAAGTGCTTGGAAGCTAGATAGGAAGTCCAGAAGACCATTTTTGAACCGGATCAAAAGGCTATGCCGAAACTGGGAAACTGCCTGAAAATGGCCAAGTCTGGGAAAGTGTTTGTGAACCCTACTTTGGAGCTCAATTCAAGAAGCATGGATGAAATTCGAGTCCAGGGGATATCTGGAAGGCTTCAAACAAAATTAGGTATGTTTGTCTACAAAGTCAAGGCATTGGATGAAATATTGGATATCTGGAAGGCTTCAAACAAAAGGCTCGAAGTTGCTATGAAGTAAGCTGCCTTCTAGCACAAAACTGAAATGACAGATTAGGTCGACCTAATCTTATATAAGGTCCACCTAAAACTGCAAGTTACAGACTCGAAAAGGTCGACCTAATGTGTGCCACAAAGTTTTCTACAATCTATTGATAGACAAGTAAAACTAGTTCAATTTTAATCTCAACAAATCCCTAACTTCTGATTCTTTATCTATCTACCTCCACTTCTTCCTCTTCTACTCCAATTGAATCTCACCCATTTCGAGTCTTGAAAGTCGTCGAAGATATTAGTTGGGATGGACGAACGAATGACAATGAGACCAATAGCAATCTTCTTTATTAGTGGTAGCTGGTCACTGGCGGAGACTGGCATCTCACTCTTACGCAAACAGAATAGATGCAGAAAGGTATATGTCTTCATCATCGTTCCTCCTTCGTTGTTCCTTAACTGCCACAGAGCTGTAAGGCAAAGCGAGTCAATAGGAGAATCAACGCGAGTTGACATAAAGTGAGAAACAGAGACCGAGCGATGAGCAGGCGTTCATGCGGTCGACGCTGGCCGCTCGAGTTCTTCTTCCGTAGGAATTTGGGAAAGACGTCAATGGACACAACCTCTATTTGGTAAGAATGATCTGTCGTGTCGTGTAGACCAAATTTACCTGCTCTTAAGCTCGGGTCGTAGAACCCTTACTTCGAAAGTGAGGTGTGAATCTATTGAATATGAGATCAGGTTTGGGAGGTTAAGGTGTCTTTGGTTTTGCATAACGTAGAGTTTAAGATTAAAACATTGTAAAAAAGTAAATCTAATCTATTGGACGAGTTAGGAAAGCATAATAGAAAGGTGTTGCACAGGCAAGCTGTAGTAGAGTTCATTTGAGTTTGCTATGATTTTGACTACACATAGTAATGTTTATGGGAATCCAAAATGGATTTCTCCTGTTGTTATGTTCATATTTTGACGCTTTCCCCTCAGTAGAGTGATTGTGGTTCCAATATTAAGCGAGGTGAGTGGGAGAGTCGACATTCAGATTGCATATGTCACGGCATGTAGTAAGGCTTCTTCTACACGTGCATGTTATTCAAGATATAGGTATGCATAAGCTTCATAGATGTTACATCCGCCAATGAATAGGCATCTCGACACCATAAGTGTGGGAAGGCAAATTCTGATAAACACTCTTACGCGCAATCAGGAATCAACTATTGATCCTAGGAACATATGACCTGCTTGATCTTTGTTAGGTTTACCCCTAACACATACCATGGCAATTATCAGATATGGTAGGCAGCGATGGTTGAAGCAGTTTGATCGAATGAGCATCGATCGTGAGGGACTACCATTTCAAGTCTCATCCACCCATGAATTCAAGTATAATGATATATTATTTGAGGATAGTCCTTGTAGCAAGCATGCAATCATATAATTGATAAACATAACGAAAGGACAAAGAAGAAGTTATAGAAATCAAATCATATATGCCAAAATCAAGAGTTACAAAGTCAAAGAACCTCGGGTTTGCCAACCTATGAAACTAAAGAAACAAACCGGACATGGGGACGTAGGGAAACATCAGTCAGAAATGAGATTCCCCGAAAACCCCTAAAAACGGCAGCCCCACCAGAGATTCTTGAGTTTTGGCGACAGATTTGGCAGCAATTTTTTCCCTCGTCCCAGCTTTGCTCTAAGTCGGACGAGTCATTTTGTCGGTAGAGTAATGACCGTCTAATGCCTCATATCACTAGCATGCGGTAAAGTGATGACCGTCTAACCCCACTGATCTATTTATATGACTATGAATCAGGGTTTTTGGGATGAAAAATAGGCCTTTAACTCGTCTTCTGAGCTTCTATGAATCTTCCTTAACGTATCCACCACCCAGGATGCATCTGGACAACTTCCTGATGAAGATTAGGCTCCCTCCAAAACGGTGCCCAAAATGGCATTTTTGTGAAGGAAAATGAATCTTGTGTGGCCATGTATGTGCTTTGACTACTTCGGTCTCCTAACTTGTCTTCGCCTTCTCTCTCTCATCCGAATTCCACATCAGACCTTGCTTGATCTTGGATTCTCGTATACTCATCTTCTTTCATCTCATGATGATCCCCTTAAGTTAGCAAGTGGTCCACTAGTCTTCTTTGACCTGAAAATGCATAAAATGCTACCCAATGTGTATCAATCGTATAAAAGAAATCGTAGGGTTGCTAAAACACACTTGAAGCAATAACATAATTTCAAAGTATTATGATGCCAATGATAGGAAATGTATGCACTTTGTGTCATAATACGGGGTTCTAGAATAAATACTTTTACATGCCATCAAATAACCTCATGCTTGAACTTTGCTTGTCTCAAACAAACCTAGGCTTGACTTCCCTCTTCTCATTAGATCTTCATGATGACACGTGACTTCCGTTATTAGGTAGTGGAAATTGTACTTGTGGAAATTTTATATAGTGAACCCACCGAGAAGCCGTTCAATGGTGAGGGGCTCCATGTTACTTTAGGTGGTCCTACAAAATGTAAAGAGGTGTTGTAGGATAAAAGTCAAAGCATCAATCTCTCCCTCTCCCTCTCCCTCTCCCTCTCAGCCCCCCCCCCCCCCCCCTCAAGGTAAAATCCAGAGCAATGTCCCAAGTAAACCCCTCACTTTCACTTTCTCCCACACAGTGGAAACTTTCGGCAACAGACTTTAGGGAAAGCTTGAGCGAGTGTGACCCCCTTTTATCCACCTATCATTCCAAAAGGATGTCGACATACCAACCCCTGGTCAATATGAGTGAAATCCCAAAAATTACTTTATACTTTGCCAATATGCTTCCATGGGCTGCACCCTTCAGAACCGCCCAAATACCATGTTCTCCATTCTGAACTCCAGTTTTGGAACTTAATCTCAATTACTTGCCTCCACCGACAATTTCTTTCAGTCGCAAACCTCCAATGCCATTTGGATATGAGAGACTTATTCTGCCGAACCACATCATAAATGATGATTCCACCCAACCACTTCGAAGCCTTGCAAGTATCCCAAGCAATGAGGTGGATCTTGTGTTCATCCCCTGTTGCTCCCCATAGAAAATTCCTTATGACCTTTTCAATGTAAGCATCAATCTTTTTTTTTTATAGGGAACAGACTTGTAGTGCAGACTATTTGTGATGAAAGACAGCTGTTTGCAAGAGTGATCCTACCACCCAATGATAATAACTGATGACTCGATATTTGCACATGTTTTTCCCTTTGTTTCTTGATCGTTTAAGCTTTCATTATCGCTTCTTTGGCCTATTTTACGCTAGGTTGTGTTCCTTTGTCCCATTTCAGGTCCTAGCACATAAAGTGAAGCATAGGCGCAAGTTTTAAGTCAATTGGAGATCAATTGGCGACTTATTGGAAGAAACTCGGGCATGACTTGAAGAAGAATGGATTCCTAACTCATTTTTTAACCATAGAATCATGTAAGATTGTCATGAGAAGAAAGACGACGATACTACGAGCGTCTGGGATCAAACGACACCTGATTTAGAGTCCGAACGAGGGAGAAACGAAGAATCAAAGATAGGGGACCCGGAATTGAAAAATACCCTCCCAGTAGGTTAAAAATACCCGACCGGGTATTTTGGCCATCTGATAGGGGATTTTTGATAGCAGCAGAAGGCCCCCCAGTCGTCAACCAAAAATACACGGCCGGGTACACAAAATACCCTACCGGGTCGCGAACGCATGCTGTTAAAAGCCTATTTTGTGCGTTTTTGGAGGGAGAGAGCTGGGTGTTGGATCCCAAACACCCAAGGGACGAACCAAAGAAAGAGAGGGAGATTTGAGGGCATTCTTGAAGTGGAATTGGAGTATTTCTTCGCCTTGGAATCTCGAGGAACATGCCTGAACTTGAAGACTGATCATCTGAAGATTCTTACTGCAGTCTCTAGCTTCTCTATGGAGTAACTTCCCTTCACTTAGGTTGTGAGGAACCCTAGCTATGTTTATGTGATTGTATGATTACTCTTACTTGATAGTCTTGAGTTCATATTCAATCTATGCATGTTTTCATGATTCAATTCTGCTTTAGTCGAGATTATTGATTCTGCTTTGATCCTAGGAGAGCGAATACCTTATTAGGTCAATAGAGCACCATAGATTGATAGTATTTGATCGATTGCTTTACTCGAGGGTTGATTCAATGCTTTGTATCGATTGAGAACCTCATTCGATAGAGGGAATCTAGTTCAGAATGCCTTGATCGGTTGTTCTAGAGAAGGATACGTCCCTCTAGGCAAGTGCCTCAAGAGGGCCTTGATCTTTTAGTCGAAATTCAACGTCTAGTTAAGGATTCTCCGCATTGTGAATGAAAGTGAAAAAGGTTAGATAACATCAATCATTAATCTGGCTAGTGGGTAGGGGTAATCATACCTAAGTGAGTTCCCAACCTGTAATTAGATTAACTGTAGTTTGTTAGAGTAGTTTTAGTTCTTCCATCTTAATCTGGTTTGCTAGATAATGAACTGAAGCTGAGTAATAGTAACTCTAGAGACCCGTGGATTCGATATTTATTACTTGATCCACTATACTGCAGTCCCTTTCAATGGTTACACTTGGCCATTGTTAGGAGTTGTGTCATAGCGAGTCAATAACCCACCTTTCCATCCCTCAAGCCTTTTCTGTAATCTAACCACCATTGGCTCCCAAACAGAAGGTGATCGAGGATGTGCTCCCAATGGTACTCAGAGATAGGTTGCCAGCAAGAGTTCCCAAGAACACCCAAATAGTTCTGCCAATCTCTCAATTTGATCACAAGCACCCACCGAAAACATTCAAATATTTTCGATGTTGATCTTGAGTCCTGTGATGCTTTGGAAGCATGCCAAGACAACAATGATATTCACAACCTGCTCTTCATAAGCGTCATAGAAAATGATGGCATCATCCGCATATAATAAATGCGAGACTTCTCCTTCGCTGACCTTCATACAAAAACCAGAGATTCCGCATTCTTCTTGTAGTCTATCAAGCATAAAGGATAGCACATGCATAACTAGATTGAACAAGAACGGCGACAAGGGATCACCTTGTTTCACGCCCCTCTTCATATTAAAAAACCAGCAACTTCCCCGTTGATTAGCACTGAGGCCTTTGCTGCCTTCAAACTAGCTTCAATCCACCTTCTGAATTTCACATCCGCACCCATTGGTCACAGTATTCTAGAAACACAATCCCAGCTGACCGAGTCAAAAGCGCGCTCTATATCCAGTTTCAAGATAATCCCTGCTCTCCCGCTTCTTATCCTGCTATCAATTAGTTCGCTTGCAAGTAAACATGCTTCATGGATTTGCCTTCTTTTAATACCAACATACTAAGATTGTGAGATGAATTTGTTCATAAACGGTCTAATTCTTGCCACCAACACCTTGGAGATGACCTTCTTCAAACTCCCAATAAGGCTAATAGGTCTAAAATCCCTGATCTCTTCAACCACCTCCTTTTTCGGCAACAAACATATAAAGGAGTGTCCAACAGAATCGGGTAGAGAGTTTGCGAAGTAAAACTCGTCCATTTCCTTTAACAAGTCCTGTTTAATAATCGGCCAACATCTTTTGTAGAATTCCACAGTGTAACCATCGGGGACGGGCGCTTTGTCCATGCCACAAAGCTTGATTGCTTCCCAGACTTCTCCTTCCGTGAATGGCCTAGTAAGGATATAATTATCATCTGCCCCAACCACTCCTTTGTAGCTCCTGAAGAATGGTCGATTCGTTGGTGGTTGCTGTACTCAATTGACAGGGTGTCACTACAAGAAAAATGGCTTTTTGCAACCAAAAAAATTGGTTCCTAAAGGTCAAAAATTGGTTATAAATACCTTTTTGCGACCAAAATATTTTGGTAGCAGCATTGGTCGCTATAGCCGCGTTACTAATTCCTAGCGCAACCAAAATGTGGATTGGTAGCAAAAAAGAAAGCTTTCGCAACCAAATTCGCCAAAGGTAGAAGACCCTTACTTTTTCGCGACCATTTTAATTTGGTTGTCATAGTTCAACTTAATGGTTGGGAAATATAATTGATTGGTCGCGAAAAATAAAAATGACAACCAATTTGATGTGGCTATTAGTAACCTATTTTTTTGGTCGCAAATAGAATTTATGTACGTTTTATAGGTGACCATTCAATTTGGTTGGGAAATTAACATATGTCAACCAATTATATCATTACAACAACCAATTGTTTAAGTTACAAAAATTTAACACAACCATGAAATTTGGTCGTGAAAAACACATAACCCGACCAATTATATTATTTTAGACGACTAATTATATTTGTTATAAAAGATTAACACAACCATAACAATTGGTCGTGAAAAACACATATCTCAACCAATTAAACCATTTTGGTGACCAATGGAATTGGTTATGAAAGTTTAATGCAACCTTAAAAATTGGTTGTCAAAAATACATATGTCGACCACTCATATCATTTTTGGCAACTAATCATTATAGTTATTGAATTGTTATGCAACCATAAAATTTGGTCGTTAAAAATCCATATGGGGCAATCATATTATTTTAGGTAACTAATTTTATTTGTTCTAAAAATTTAACACAACCATAATAATTGGTCGTAAAATATATGAATGGTGACCAACCATACCCTTTACGACTAATTCTTATGGTTATAAAAGTTAAATGCTACCATAAGAATTGGTTGCGGAAAATACATACGCCGACCAAAAAATTCATTTCATATGACCAATTTGGTAGATGAGGTTTGGGTCACTAAAATAAAAATATTAAAATTTAATAGAATTATAATAAAAAATTATTTCATATAACAAAATTGTTTACCAACTAAAATTATAGTTCACAATTTATTGTTTAGTAACCAAAATCACAATTACACCAAATTATCACTAAGAATCGGCCTACTATTTCAAAAAATAAAAAGAGGACCTAAAGGCCACACTAACTACTTCACGTATCTTTGATTTGCCATTCCACCTTTGGAACACTTGATCTGCAGAGGGGGAGAATAAAAACATAACAAACAACATTAATACATATGCTAGAACTTCAAAATTCAAAAGCTTCTTCACCAATGACATAAATGGGAACTAACCTGTGACTTGGCAAATCTGACATCCGGGCAAGAAAGCAGTCCAGCAATGTCATGCTCTATATATTCAAACACTAGGTATATGCTGCAGGGTAGATGAGAAGTAAACAAGAGTCAAAACGAACCTTCTTCAAAGCAACAGTCCTCCCAGTTTCAAGCTCTTTGGAACCCCAATTTCATTCCCCCATATCTTTACAATAATATGGTTTCCTAACCCTAGATTATCAGCCTGAAAGACCTAGATTCTTTAAGAGCTAACAACCGTCAACAAAACTACCTTAGATATCATACAAATAAGCAGATACCCTATCAATATGAAACGAGGAGCTAGAATACCTGAGCTCGGACGAAGCCATAGAGGGCATAAACGTAGAACTGCCTTGGAGGACTGTTGCTTCCTGCAACTTTGGCTAGCTTGCCTTTGTACTCCTTGAGCAGCTGCAGAGGCAAAGTTCAAGTACAAATTAGTAACTTGATAATACAAATTTACATTACGAAAAGGAATCAAAACCAGAACCCACAGAAGGCAAAGTTTCCTCCAACAGAGACCAAAATCAATTGCACAACCTAGGGTCTTGCTCTGTGCATTCCTTAACCCTAATCATCGCCGGCTTCGGATGGCCCAACCGGGGATTTGTTTTCAACCAAATACTATTTATAAAATTATCAAGATTTATTATCTAGAAAAAGAAGTAAAAAGGGAAAAGGAATCGAATCCTTTAATCTTCTGGTTGGTTCAAGACTTTCATTGAACAAAACCATTTTCGACAATCACAAATCCATGGGTCTCACCAAGTAAATAGCATACCTATCCGAAGAAAAACAAATCCATTACTCACCTGTTAGAGTCACCTCCACATGCAGAGATGTTGCTGCCGATACTAATCAGTGGAATTAAAGATTTCTAAGTTCCCATGCTTCATGATTGATCATCTCGGTTCATGATTCACCATTAAATCATGAAGCTCCTCTTGAGATCCTACTGCTTTTACTACAAAACAGATACACAAATAAACCAAAATCAGTAGGCTCCCATGTTTATGCTCCACCAACAGGATGACAATCACATTCATGAAAACAATACCATTTTACTAACATAAGGTAATAACCAGCTAACTTAGGGTGACTACTGCCTGAGAATCTTTTTCAAGACAATATATAAGCAGCTAACTTAGGGTATCTTTCGCCAATTGTACCGCCTTTCTGTTTCTGGAACTGAATGTAACGTAGTGTGCTGGCAAGGAAAGCCTCGGCACCAGGGTCTGGTGCACTAGAACTGGAGTCATTTTGCTGCATCTCAGTAGTGATCAGTTCAAATAAAAAGAAAGTTTCATGGCACACTTTTAATGGCCAGAGGGAGAAACTAGTAAGACTTCCCATAACAAGACTCTCTAGCCAACGCGGAGGGAGAAACTAGCCAGCTATCGTATAGATGATAGCTAAAGGATGTGCCTTTGACTTGAGCATTAATTGATTGGACAACCAAACCCCAGAGAGATCAAACAACACACCTACTTGTTCCCTGAAAGGATCCGACAAGAATGAAAGAAAGGATAAAGAAGCATGTCCAGATAATCAGATAACACTCCAAGAGCGTATCTCAGCCAGAAATATATTCTTCACAAGCAATGGAGGGGTAGTCCACAACTTGATCAAAGAGAACAAACAAGAGACATCTTAAAAAATATCACAGGAGCTAAATGCCAGATCATCCTCGCACTATGTATCCATAACTGCATAATTATGCTCACTATTCAGCAGTCCCTTAGCTTTTCAATGCGACCCAAGTTCGCACAAATATCCATGACTCCGTCCCATTACAGGCTAAGAGAACAACAGGTGCATTGCCGTGAAAACAAGAACTCAAGCTACATGAGGCGACCAAACTCCAAAATAAAGACAACATTTCTGAGATCAAGCTTCTTCTATGTGTTCAATAGTTCGGTGAGCTAAAAGATGCAGGACCATTAGCTCATTCACAATAGATAAACCCAGAAGGACAAATAAGCAAGGTATACCTAAATGGGCTACTCACCATCATTTAATGGTTACTCAATAGAATCGAAACAGTTGACGGGAAAAGGGAAACTATCAGGGGATGGAGAAAGGTGTAAAATCAGCCGAATTAAACCTGAAACATCAATAAAGAAATGTTGGATGTTAAAGTTGTTTGTACTCACATTTGGCCATTTCCATCTTCCGTCATCTCCAGCTTTTACTTTCCTGCTCCTCCTATGATCATAGAAGGAGAAACAAAAAAAGTCTGTGTATGCTTGTTAGATACTTGCTCTAGAGAAGCTGCCTGCAAAACAGAGATAAAAAAGAAGATGAAGGTAAAAAAAAAAACATTAGTCGTTGTATACTGTAAGGCATAGAAAAGTTTGAGAACAAATTGTCATGATGGTGTATGCAAGGAGACTCTCAAAACAGCTCCCTTTCATCGAATAGATAATCCGATGACACATATAAAAAATCCAAACAAAAAAAAAACTATAGGGGAAAACACAAATGCAAATCCACAGAAGCATGAATATGAAGACCCCTTCCACAGAAGCAAATCCAAGAGAACATCCAAAACACAGAAGCAACTGAAGGAACCAGGAAGGGTTAGAAACTCACATTGAACGTGGGCGACGATGAGGCTGTGGTGTCTGAAACGGAGCTGTTGCCAGTGGGAGCTCCCACTGCCATAAGGGTGCTGAGATGATGAAGTGGTACTGTTGTAAGTACTCCAGGTTTAACATCAGTAGGTCCATGTAATGTAAGTACTCCAGGTTTAACTTTCCGAAACAATAACATAATCATATAACCATGTAAACTTAAAATGGATGGACTCAAGCAACCTTGTAAATCCATGACAACAACTAATGAATGCATAACTATGGTGACTATAAATTGGTAATCCAATGGCAAAAACCTTATAAAACTACAAAGTTCCCCATTGAGTGTTTAATCTTCTATTAGTAGTCATTAATTTTTAATACCCATGGACTAAAAGAACCTGCTAAACCCATGGCAGTGGCATGGAAACTTCAGTCTTTTGTTGCAGGCAGTGGCATTGCAGCTTCTATGGCACTCCTGCTCCTTCCCCATGAATCCTTGCTTAGGAACCGTACCTTTGTTTCCAGATTTCCCCTGAACACGAACTGAAGAAAGGTTTTGTTTCAAGCATATGGAATGATGTGTTTAAAGATTCTGTTCACCTAGTGCTACAATCAAGAACTAACACCAAGGTCTGACCATCCAGAGCAAAGAACGAAGAAGTTAAGCTCTAGCAAATTAGAAAAACCTAACCTAATCTCTAGGGCGTCAGATGAAGCACTCGACGGCTCCTTGAACTTTATTCAGAAAAACCACAACGAACAATCACACCGAAGCATAACGACGATCAGTTCTAGTAAGAATTAGAATATTGACCACAATCGATAACTGATCAGTTCTTACCCGACGTACGGACCAAGGGCGAGATCGGAGAGACGAAGGAGAAAGCATCGGTTCCTTCGGCGGCAGCACTACTCGCGATCAAAATCACAGCAACGCTGGCGAGGGATTGAAGCGGCGCTCGTGCTCTAGGCTGGCGTATGTGCCTTCTCCTCTTCCTCGGCCGTCGTCGACACCGACACAATCGGCGGCAATCGAAGTCAAAGCGGAGTCGTCTCGACGACTATGGGGAATTCACAGACGCTGGCGAGATATTCGATCCGGAATCGTCTAGAAAACAAATCGGATGCGGATCGAATTTGACCGAGCTCAAAAGTGAAAATAGGATTCAACCGAATTTCAAACTAGTTCAGCTTAGATAGAAATTAGAAATAGGCTAGGATCTGTTACCTTCTGAGAATCAACAGGGAAGGAGGAATTATCGAACGAAGCAGGCGAACTCTTTACTTGCCTTTAAAATCGTGATTCCTCTACAGACTGGAGTAGCCGGACCTCAAAGAAGCAAATAGGGAATCCGATAAAGACGAGACGGGAGAAGAGGAGAAGCTGGAGTCAGAACCGAAATCGACATGAGGAGACGGAAGAAGAAGAGGAGGAGGAGAACTTGGATGGAATCAAATGGAATCGACAAGTCGAAAACCTCGTCTCTTAGCAGACCACTTGAATGGCAGCTAATGAACGACAAAAATTGTTTTCCATAATTACTATTTCATTCACTAAGTTTTAATAGTTTCAGATATAGTACCTACATTTTTATAGAACACTTTGATAAATTGACAACCAAATAATTTAGTTGCTGAATTTTTCCATTGGATTTGCAACCAAATTTTTTAGTTATCTAAGATTTTCAAATCTCTTGCTTAAATTCATAACCAATAATATTCGGTTGGAGAAAGTAAAAATCAATATGCTACCAAATTATTTGGTTGGAAAAACTAAAAATAATTTTGCTACCAAAATTTTTTGGTTGGAAAAGGTAAAAATCATTTTGCTACCAAATTATTTGGTCTCTTCAAGTTTTATTTGGTTATCAATACTTTGACTTTAATAGACAACCAAATTTTTAATATTTAACTACCAAAATATAATTGGTTGTAAATACTACCCTTTTCACAACCAATTTTAGTTTGGTTGTAAAAATTTTGGTTGCAAAAGCTAGTTTTTGTTGTAGTGTGTGTTTCCAATAAGTACTTGATTTTGTATGGAATATATAATACTGTTCATTAAAAAAAACCAATAGTCATAGACTTATCCATTCGTCAAAGCAGAGAGTGACGCATACCATCTAATACCTTATATAAAACAGGGTAAGCAGCAACATTGTTTTGGAGTCATCGAAAATGTGGACTCGAAACTTTTTAGCTGGTAGCCAATGGGAAGCACGGGAGCAAATGGTGCAATTTTTTGTTTTGCTAGGAAATTTCTTTTGAGCTACTGATTATATAATGTCTTTAAACTGGCCGGCCGGTGCCGGCAGGGAATTAACGATAACCGCGTTTCTTATCGGAAACAAATAATTTTTTTATTTTATTTTATGAATTTGATACCATTTTCATACATATAAACAGAAAGTAGAATACGAGCACACGGAGGGCTGGTGAAGATCAATTTTGTCTTCTGCTTGCATATACATTTGCTAGAGATCAATCAAACAGTAGATAAAACAACACTTCAAAATTTCCAAAAATTAAAAATAAATAGATAACCTTAAGATATTAAGGCAACAAATATTAGTGAATTAGTGGTAGGCCTGCTTGACATTTTGGAGGACTAGAGGATATTCATCCACTTTTTGGATGTATAGGGTATGCAAATAAGCCTACCCAACCCCATATAAACTTATTATTTTATATGGTAATAGAGACAAACTTTCTTATATTTTAGTCTTACAATTAGCATTATATTATATTTAATTTGTCCTAAGTTGAGAAATGTTGGAATTAGTCAATGAAGAGCAAAGTTTTTCAGATTTTCTAGTATGCTCCTTTCAATTTGAATTTCGCTCAACCAAAAAAAAGTAGAAGTCCAAAATCTTATAATATGTACTTAATTTCGAATAAGCGTTCACTTCTGTAGTAATTTCACTGATCTTAAACCTCAACATCACAAATTCAAATCTTTTAAATATCATCTAACTATAAATACAAGCCATATATCACCGTTAAAAAAAGTACCTTTTTATAAAAGATAATCATATATTGATTGAAAAAGAGATGGAACACATTACACCGTGGAATTGATGCACGGCCAAAAATCAAAGGAACGACACGAGGTTGGGTACAAAGAAATGGTCTTTCTAGCGACCAAATGGGTTACCCTATTGCTAATCTAACCTACAAAACGTACAACAAAACCACTACAAAGCGCCAATAGACATAGAACTTCCTCAAGAATATCCCAGAGTAACTATCTCACTTGTCTGTCAGGGTTATCTTATCAATGATCACCTTCGCATCCCCTTCAAAGCAAACTTGCGAGAGACCAAGATGCATATACCACTAAATGGCTTCCCGAAGGACCAAAAGCTCTACCAAGGCTGGTCATCAATATCCGCAACGTACACTCCGGCCAATGCAATTAATAGACCCTCTAAGGTCCTTCATGCAAATGAATTAAGTCGGATCATCCTGGCTCGGTCCCCACACTTGGGGTGGGAATGTGGGATCATGTTGTCTGCTGGCAAGCTAATCCATTCCTGGACTTTTTAAAGATATTGTCGCATCAAGGTAGAAATTCGGAATTGCTTACCCTAAAAAAGCAACCCAATTCCTGGATCTGCAAATCCGTCAAAGGACTGCTACAACAACCATAATTTGGTGGGGTTGAGTGATTAGCACCAAAAACTTCTTCAGAAACAATGGAAAAGTATGGCATGTGAGCCCCTGGCCCTGATATTCTAAACCAAAGTAATCCTGAAGTGTGCTTGCCACAGTGCAATCCAGAAACAGATGCTCTATTATCTCCGACTCCGCCCAGCAGACCGGACAACGAGACACTACTTCAACCTTCTTCTCAATAAGAGGCTCTGTAGTTGGGAGGATGCAATGGAATATACTCTAAATGAAAATTTTCAAATAACCCAGTTTGTTTAAATTAGGACGCAGGAGATGAATTAGACACAAACAATTACATGTGGATATCAGGAAATTAATAGTCCTATAACCCAGATTGTTTATAGAAATTCAAATAGATAGAAATAAATAAATAAAAAATAAACGAATCAAAGAATCCATAGATGGGCGCCATATCATGTTCATGTTCATATCCATACATCCTCATACCAAAAAAAAAAAATATCCCCTTTCCCCAATAAACCAAAGAAACATTGTCCCCCAGAGTTTACAAAAACAAGAAGGAAGTAAAAACATTTTATTTTGTTGCTGAATTAAGAACTATAACTCTTCCTCTCCATCCTGCCCCGAGACCGCTCTTTCAGCCCATGGAGCTGCATTTGCCACACCGCCCTCGACGACGACGACGACGACCAGCACTCGCTCCGCCGCGGCCTCCCGACGGAGTTCACGTTGCTGAGCTCGTAGTCGTATGCCAGACGGGAGGCCGGGTCGGACAGCGTCTCGTAGGCCTCGCGGATCTCCAAGAACCGGCGGGTCGACTCCTCTTTCCCGGATGCGGGTCGGACGTCCGGGTGGTGCTGTCGGGCCAGCTTTCTGTAGGCTTTCTTTATCTCCTCGGGTCCGACGTCACTTTCCGATGAGAGTGACAGCACTTGGTACAAATTGTTCTTCCGGCTAGTGTTATTATTAGTCATGGTGGCTCGGCAGGAGACGATGGATTTGAGCCGGTTTGGAAGGAATGGTGCTTTCAGGAATTGGTGGGAATTGAGTTGGAGAGAAAGCTCCATACTGGTTTTGGACTGCAGAGAGAGGGAGAGAGAGAGAGATAGAGTAGGTAGTATGGTTTGGAAGTAGTAGAGCAAATGATGAAATGATTGATGAGAAGGAAGGTCTTGTATATGACTTTATATATAAAGGAAAATATTGCTAGGTTTAGCCGTTTTGGCATGAAGAAGGCCCTTTATTAAAAAATGATTGCTTAATTATATGAAGCTGAGAATATGCGTAGATGTAGAATGCTTAATTTTATAGAAGTATATTAGAGAGGTCTTAGTTTAAGTTAAGTTTTCACCCAATTTGCACGCATTTTAATTGCATTATGGGGTAGTTTGGTATATGCGTATCTAAACGGTGCATTTAATGAATGCATGTATTGTATAGAATGCATCGTTTTTTTGTGTCAAAATGAAAAACAATGCATGCATTTGATTGATGATGTGACACTTGAAATCATTCAATATGAATGATTTACAATCTCAACAATTTGGTGAGATTGTTGAGATTGTGTTTTGAGATTGCTCTTCCATTTTCCTTTCCCTTTATATCTCTATTAACTTTTATGAGATTGTTACTCTTCTATGTAAAAGAAAGGGTAAACATGACCTTTCACTTAAAAAGTAACTTTCTCATTTTATTCCTAAAATTACAATCACAACTACCAAACAATGTAGTCTTATAATACATGCATTTAGATAATACATCAATTTACAATGCAAGTATTCATACAATACATCAATTCTAATAATCGCAAATACCAAACGACCTATATATTATAGGTGCAGACTAAACTTTGTAGTTAGTTTCAAATAAGTCATGGGACTTGCTTTATGGATTTTAAAAATGAAAGTTTTACTAAAATTTGGGTTTTGTAAAAGCATGGATATATGAGAGTTTTGGATTTCTTATAAATTTGTAAAATAACATTGTTTGTTTTATAGATTTCATGATGGATTTGGTTAAGATCTGTATGAATAAAGATTGACATATATTGTCCTCATTAGTATGAGAATAATAAGGAAATAGGAAGGGCAAATTGGTCATAAATGTTGAACTTGAAAGTCCTTATCAATTCCCACCTAAAGTGGTGGAACTTTCAAGTCTGTGCACCCCACGGATTTGACCCTTAAAATTTGTGGAGCCCACGGATTTGTTGCCCCTAAATATTTCAAGCCAACAATAGAATTTTTACAAAGTCCATGATGTCTCAAAATCAAACACCAAATCCTAAAGCAAACAACCCCTATAATTAGCTAGAATTGGTTCAATCGTAATTAGGGAAAATTCAATCCGGGATCATGGGTATCCTATTCGAAACCATAGATTAAGGAATATTCTGTGTAGATCATGTTAGACTGTAATTCAAGTATCACATTGGAATCGAGAAATTTTTTGTTTGTATATAAATGTTCATTTAGATTTATTAGTACCATGCCTTTCGGAAAGGTGAGAAATTTTACAATGCTATATAGTATTGGTGCTATAGGTTTTTGCTTTTGTGGTACAATTTAAAATTGTACATTTACGTTATGGTACAACTACAGATTGTACCTATACTTTTTGTACAAATTCTTTTATGGTACAACTTGAACTTGTACCTTTATGTGATGGTACAATTTCAAAATGTAAAGTTGTACCATAACATAATGGTACAAATTGTTTTATGGTACAACCTAAACTTATACATTTAATGTTATGGTACAACTTTGAGTTGTACATTAAAGCACCAATGCTATATAGCATAGTAGAAGTGCTCCGGAAAGGTATCCAACAATAACTATTATTAGGATGTGATCTTGTTAGTACCATGCCTTTGGGGAATGAGATAATGTCATCATTAGTGGTGGTACATTCCTTCTCGTCTATATAGCTAGTCAAAATTTATTGTATTAGGATGTGTTCTTGTGTATTGTTAAGTGAATGAATGCTATGATTTCATCTCATGCTTGTATTTGCCTATGAAATTTTTGATGACTATTGTCTATGTATTGATGCTTTTAGTTTCGATGGTTATTTAATGGTCATTGATGGTTCTATAGTATGAATGCTCTTGTATCATCGATGCTTATGATTCGATTATATGCTACAATGTGCATTGTGCTAAGTATTACATAGGTTGTAAGAAATTACCATCTAGGGATACCCCATCGGTGCTACCAGTTGCGTAGCCTGACTTTGAATTAACTGGGTCCTTAAAATTTATGAAACACTAAATTTTGTGTATCTAATGAACTTTAGGTTCCATGGTATCCTTAGATGAGCTAACTCCCGAGATTATGAGGTCCTAAAATCAAAGGAGCATACTAAACACTACGTATTTAAAGATTTTGTTGTCGCATGTTTCCACAAGTGGGGTCCTACGATCGCACTTCTCAAGAAGTGGCTCCGCCACTAGGTGCTAGAAGAGTATGGATGGAATGATCAACTATCTATGCTCCGTGTCGTATCAATTCTTGTTCTTCATTGATTAGGTAATGACATGAAGGGAAAGCACACATTAACTAGTTAATTCTTTATCGCAAGAGCGCATGCACAAGTAGAGAGTGGCCTTAGCAGAATGGTCAGATAGAGTGTTACCATAGATGAACCATCAATGCATGATACGAATGACGCCTAGTATGCATGATATTTTTTAGTTCTCTACCTTCTACAATAACGTATCTTGCATTTGTAAATCGAAGAACTCGAAAAACCCCCTAAGAGTATTTATGATTCTCGTTTATGTCATAGATGATTGTTGTGATTAGTTATGCATTATAAGACCTCGAGGAATACGATCATGGAGTCTCCTAGAATTTTATCACTTGTCTTCACATCATGTGCGGCTCATCGAGGCCTATTATTTTCGATCATAACTATGAGGATGGATGTGATCGGTTAATTGTTGGTTACTAACTATTGAATCAGTTATTGGTGTAACCGTCAACCACAAATTCCAGTTCGATTATCGATTATACAGCTAATAACATAACCGTTTACTCTGCCTAGATTCACCATAACAATCTGTCTCTCCATTAATTACTATATTCTTTACATATATCCTCCACTGAAAACAAATTGGGGTCTCGGCTAATAAGACAAGAAGAATCTTTCCATCCAAGTAAACCAACATCGACCGAAACTCCAATGATCACAGAAAGAGCTTCAAATATTCATCCATCCTCTTGTTTTACAAATTAGAAGAAAACAAATCAACTATGTATACCCTCACGCGGTTAGACTTTTTCTTATGGTGCTTTCAAGCTTAAGATTTTTTGGAGAATTTTGAAGATGGAGAACTGCAACAAGAGTACTGGCCGAAGCAACTAAGTGTTTTGTCTTTCATGGACCGGCTGCCACATGTCTGCATGACCATGTCCATTCCACACTCTCTCCATAAGGATCCAGCCGCCAGTATACGGTTTAAGTCTTTCGTACGTGGAGAACTACAACAGAGTACTTTGTCTTACATTGTTGATATGCCTTGTATGGATCGGCTGCCGCATGTGTGTGCATGACCAAGTCCATTCCACAATCTCCATAAGGATCCAGCCGCGCCTAATACTTCTGTTACTCTGTACATGTCGATGGTCGATATACATTAATAGACGACAGATTCCCTCAGCTTCTAGCTAGAGGAAGTTTAAGTATACTGAATTGCTATCGGTAGTCTTAACTTTTCTTTATTTGTAGCCCTAAGTTAATTTAATTATTATTTTACCCTTCCTCTTTTTTAAAATTAAAACTTGTTACAGGACTCCAACCAAAAACTCCCCTCTCTCCCAATTTAACACTCGCAGGTTTCCTCCCAAATATTGTCGCCGGCGACGACGACCTCTCACCGAAGACAAAATCAGAGCGCCTTGCCGGAGAAGAGACTTAGTCGCCGGAGGTAATATTTGATTTTTGTACGGAGTCCGGCCTATTCGTCGATGGTGATTGACAACGTCCTGTCCAAGCGTTGCCGGTGACGGAGGAACGTCCTGGCCGGCGGTTGGTAATATTTGATTTTTGTACGGAGTCCGGCCTATTCGTCGCCGGTGATGGACAAACGTCCTGTCCAAATGTTGACCTGTCGCCGGCGACGTCTGGAAAGGACGTCGCCCTCGCCGGCAGCTGGTAAACGACCATTTTTAAAAAATATTAATTTTGGGTTTTTTCTCATTTAATTTAATTTAGGTTAATTATCTGCTTTAATTATTATGATTCAATGTATGTTAATAATCTACTTTAAAACAATTACTTTAACTATGTAGGTTAATTATATGCTTTAATTATTATGATTTAATGTAGGTTAATTACTTTGATTATTTGCTTTAATTATGTAGGTAATTATTTGCTTTAAATATGTTAATATTTAATATATACGAAAATTATGTCGGTTAATGTTTTCATTTAATTGAAATTAGATAGGAAAGTGATTCGGGCCCAAATGTACACATTTTACCCCTCATTTCTTATTCGTTTAGCTTAGTATTTCATTGTTCCTCGACATATTTCACGTTAGGTTATACTTTTTTTTTATACATTTCAGGTCCTAGCACGTGTGGAAGGGTCGAGGAGGAGTTTTGAGATATTTGGAGGTCAAAAAGCGAAAAAAACCGAAGAAAAGTCCGAAGTCACTATTTGGACGCAATTGTCACGGTCGCAGTTCACAGCCGGACGAGGCAGTTCATGGTCTCCTAAGACCGTGAACTTCGACCACAAACCGTGAATACCGCGGCGTCCATCCAGGTTCATGAAGTTACTAACGACAAGGCAGCTCGGTCAATGGCCACAGTTCACGGACGCGTTTATGTGTTCACGCCCGTGAACTTGCCTACGCGTCCGTGAACTGGTCACTTTCGGGCAAATATGAAGACAGCAACGGGGAGAAAGAACGGAGAGCTGGTTTTTGGAGAAGAAACACTTTCTTTCTCTAGGGTTTCAACCAAAAACACCAATGGAGAGTTCTAGTGAGAGAGAGAGAGAGAGAGTGCTAGAGTGATCTTGGAGCATCATTGGAGGCGTGGGTGGAGGATTCAAGTCTGTAAGAAGAAGAAGAAGATCTTGAGCTCAAATTTGTAACCTCTCTCTCTCTCTCTCTCTCTCTCTCTCTCTCTCTAGAAACTCACTCTTTTCTCTTGGGTGTTGTAGATGCCTAACTAACACTTTGTAATTACTTGTTTAGATTGAATGATTGTCATTGGGTATTGTTTAATTTAATGATTGAGGTATTATTCATGTTGATTGTGCATGCTTGTGCTTAGCAATCTAAGGGTTGTGCATGTTTTGTGCTTAGCATCCTTAGGTTTGTGCATTTTGGTGCTTAGCAACCTAAGGATTGTGCATAATTGTGCTTAGCACCCTTAGGTTTGTGCATGTTGATGCTAGCAATCTAATTAGCCACCTTAACCTAGCTTAGAGAGGAAAATCTCCATTCCAAGGGAGAGTCAATCGAGTTGGTTTTCCTTCAGCTTTTTAAGCCACCTAACTAGGTTAATTTAGGGCAATCCTCATTGTTGATTTAAGCAAATCGGTCAATCGCGATTAAGCCGTCTGACCTTTGGGTTGAGTGATGGAGTAAGTCAACTACTGATTGCCTAAACCGAGAGGTTCGAGTGACACGGCCTATATTGTTCACCTCGGTTTAGCAATTGAGATTGTGCTCTCTGACCATATATGCATCCCTCCGTGGTTCGCGGTTACCTTGCCCATAGCAATCGTTCCAATCCAACGAGTCTTGGTAGCTAGTTAGGGGGAAGCAACTTCTGGGTGAAGCTCCCTTAGTAAGAGTTTTCCTTTGTTTAATTTTTCTTGCTTGTTTAGTTTGTAGTTCCATTAGCTATAAACCCAAAAGTTGCTTGCTAGATAACAACCTAAGCGATTGAAGTAGGGATACATGGATCGGCCTGGGTTGACAATTTAAATACTTGTTCTATACTTCACCTGGCTAGAGTTTAAAAATATGGGCTCTAGTCGGGATCAATTTGTGGTGTAGTTTCGTGCGAGCCAGAAAGGTAAATTTTAATTGATAAATATAAGAAAGTTTAATAACTTAAATATAGAATTTTATTTCATGAAAAGTGTTAATTGCTGTACGAACCTTAAATTGCAATTGAAAATTTAAGCAAGAAAATTAAGTTAGAATTTATCGTGAAATTCTTTATAATTCAGAACATTATATTGTGATGGGAATTTTATTGTAATTGAAATTATATACGAATGTTAAATTATTATAGAGAAATATACGAACCTTGAACATTTGAATATAAAAATTTATTATATGAGAACTAGCAATTATCATATGAACATTACTAATAACTGTTACATGATGATAATAAATTGAAAATAATTTTAATTCAAATTTTAATAGGTAGAAAATGGTGGATACAAGAGGAAAGAAGAAGATAAAGGAGGTAGAGCCGTCGAGGGTGGCCAACCGTATAGTATTGAGGTCGCGTTGTTAGGAAGCAGAGAATGAGCGTCGACGTGCTAGACTTGTGATGAATCCTTCTCCCTCGGCTCCCTTGCCTTTTTACTTAGATAGATCTTTTGAGGGAGTGGATGAGATGAGTATGATGGCAATGATGATAATTATGACGACTTCCCGGATGTAAATGAGGCTTTCATAGAGGGCAACCATCCAAGTGCAGGTGGTTCTAGTTGACCTAGATTAGAGCCCGATGCTCCTTTTGTGTCTTCTGCGTCCTCTGAGTTTGTTCATGTTAGGCGTGGGCTTCGTGGTCGTTTTGAGTCATTACGACCCGATTCGGAGGAGGGAAGCACTAGTTAGAGGAAGAAGACGAGAGAAGCTGATTCGTGGATTCTTGACAGGAGTGGGCCAGGGGGGACCTATCGGTCCTAGCCTGATTCCTAGTTTTGGAGGTCATGTGACTTATCGATTATGGGATGATGGTTTAGGGGCTCACCGAATGTTTTCATTCAAGTTGTCGACTAGAGCATTAGCAGTCAATTATTTCAAAGATTACAAATTTCAGAGTGAGGGTATTGCAGCGTTGGTTGAGAGGACAGGGTTGCGCAAGTTGTTGCACTGCTCAATCCAGCTCTTGGACGGACCTTTACTTGTGGCATTTGTCGAGAGGTAGCATCCAAACACCAACACCTTTCACATGCCTTTTGGAGAGATGACCATCACGCTCCACAACGTTGTAGTACTGCTTGGGATTCTAGTCGGTGGAGATATGGTTGTAGGGAATGAGAGTGTGAAAGCACAGTTGTGTGAGATGTTGAGGGTCGAACAATTGAATGAACGATCCAAGCCTTCGCTTAAGAGTGGGGGTTTGGTGTGTGTTGAAGCTATGCATCAGGTTGGGAGGTTTCGGGAAAGATATTCTAAGGTACGGATGTTCTTGACCTGTTCGTAGGGGACCACCTTGTTTGTGGACAGGAATGGGGATCGAGCGCAAGTTTGGCCACTCCAGTTCATGGGGGACCTTAGACTGGTGAGGAAATATTGTTGGGGTCTGCTACACCTGCCTATTTGTATAGGCAACTCGGCATGGCGTCTCGAGCGGATTACAAAGGCATGGGTGGCTATTTGACCCTCCTTCGGAGTTGGATCTACGAGTACTTCCCATGTCTACGAGATCAAAAGTTGGGGACAGGTGGATAAGTGTGCGGGGAACCTTTTGCTAAGAAGTGGGAGGGGTGAGATATGGAGGTGGGGCACAGTTGATGAATGAGAGGTTGGATCACTATCGTCGAGTACTGGATAATATGACAGATGAGTTCGTTTTTTGGTGCCCATTCAGCCTCTGACCCGGTAAGATGATCTCTTGTTCTTTGTACTCTGGTGTCATTCGGTGCATGAGTGTTGAGGAGATGTATGATCCCTCGCGTTGCCTCCGTCTGTTTGGGTTCGTACAGACCATCCCCTCACTACCACTTGGTGCAGTTGGATTCGATATCGAGACCTGTCCAAAAACCGGAAGATACCGATGATGGGTATCTATAGTGGTATATGGGACGTACCCACTCGAGGATCGTCTGCCCCAGTGTTGCTGACCAGGAGATACACCACCATCTTAGTCATGATCAGGTAAGTTTAATTATGTGATTGATATTGCTATTATGTACAAGCTTAAATATTGCATTAGTTATCGACTAACATACTAACATTTACATTTCTATATAATTAGCTGTGAAGCTCCAGATTTTGGCACTGTGATTGAGCACCCTTATGATGACCACCTTGATCTTCTTCTTGGATTGCGAGGGTTGCTTAGAGAGTACGATGAGGCGACTCTATACCAGCCTCCACCTCAGTACTAGTGTTGTTCATGTAGTTTGAGTACTATGTAGTTAATTTATATTTTGAGAACTGTGATATTAATTTGATGTTTGAGAACTATGTCGTTTGTTTCTAGTTTGAGAACTAAATCGTTTATTTGTTGTTGGAGGACTATGAAACACCTAACCCGGCCGGGTACTACTTTTACTAAAATTCCCTTGAAAAATAAAATACTCAAATCTTAAATTTCAGCGGAAACCATTTTCATAAATAAAATACTGAAAACACACACTTGTATTTCAAAGCAACGCCCTAACAGGTGGGAAAATGAAACTCAATCTTTAAAATCTTAATCTAATCTCCAGTCTATACTCATAATCATAAAACGTAATAGCTAACTAGTCTCAACTACTGCTGCTGCTCTATACTCATAAGCAACTCCCTCGAACTGTTTCTCTAGATCTCGTTGCTCTCTAACTTCTCATCCTCGTCCTCTTCAAACTGGTGAGTGAGTTGGGGTCAGTCTACGCCCTTACGATTTAAAATTTCTTATACTTGAGTACTTTGCTTAAACACTTAACTTTAACTGGTGGAAGTTGTTTATACTTCCAATCTTAACATCTTAACTCTAACTGTATGGAAGTTACTGTTACTCTCCATTCTTAAAACTCAAATCTTGACTTAAATACTTGACTGACACAGGGATCCCTCACTAGGTAGTCCGTTTTCCCAACTCATATGTATGAGAAGCCCTCCAGGCTTCCGTTAAACTTAAACTTATCGTGGAAGGCTCTTCTTTCACGATTCTCAAGAGCATAACTGTTGCTCATCTTAGAAATCTCAAGAGCATAACTGCTGCTCAATTTAAATATCTCAAGAGCATAACTGCTGCTCTGTCTCAAAGATCTCAAGAGCATAACTGCTGCTCTATCTGAAAATCTCAAATGGCAACGGACTGGCGCTAGTGACTAAAAACACTTAAAACAACTTCACCTTATTGAAGGTGAAGTACTTCTTAAAACAAAAGGACTTGTTCTTAACTTTAACAATCACTCATAAAATGTAAAGTTTTAAAGCAACAACACACATTTACTATAAACCACAACTCAAACAAGCACATATCATCAATTTTGAGCATAAACAACCATAGCAACACTTCATAGAAATACTGAAAACTCCAATACTTGAAAAAATGGGTAAAGCGTAGAATTTACACCCTTTACACTCACCTTGTTACGACTTAGAGTCCCTCGTTTAGGTCTCCCTGCAAATCCTATTTCCTTGGTATCATTTCAAGGGCTGCATACGATTTCCTTTCCAAGAAAAAAAAAATCAATTCCCTGTATATCATACTTAAGTACTTAACCTTTCCATCAAATCAATTTCCAATAGCCACGTGGTACCAGCTTTTGGAATGGGCAATTATTCAGAATTGCCAAACCCATTTAACGTACAAAGCAGCTAGCCAATAGTGAATAGGCTTACCTTGCTAATGAGGACACCATGATATCCTATTTATCCCGTATCCAAGTACCACACCCATCAAACCCCTTTGGCGACCGATTTTGTCCATGTGAAATGGCGATCCTCCTTCTTCGATTTAGGGATTTGAATCGTCAATTTGGGAATGAGAGTGAAAGACGATGACTGACTCAGTAGGCTGATCAGTGTTATTGATCGAATGGGATCGAATGGGCCCAATGACAATTAGGCCCGCAACTCAGCAGTAGAGCTTCGGTGGGCTTCAAATAAACGGGCCCAGGGCTTTCTTCAGAGAAGAGACGAAGAGCAATCTTCTTCTTCTTCTTCCCTGATTCAGCTTTGCCTTCGAACAGAGCACCAACGAACAGAGTACTGCTGAAGCAGTAGAGAAACAAGAAGCAGAAAAAGAAAGAACACAGCGAGATTTTTAACGAGGTTCGCCACTGGGCTACTCCTCGCCCCGGAATAGTACTCACTATTCCGAGAGACTCTTTTGATTTTCTTTGACTATAAAGAAGAAAGAAGAACGACGCAATTACAACGAATGTGAAAATCAAAGAGCTTGACACAAGACCCGAATTCGCACAGGAATTCATTACAACCTCTGATCAACTGAACCTCTACCTCAGAGTGATCAAAGCCACTGTTTTTTAACCCCAATTCCCTGCCCTGTACTGCTAGGAATTTCTCCAAAACAGTTGCTTCCCAGTTCTACAGAGGAGATTAATTTATAACCTTTCTTTTCCTTGCTGGATAGCCGTTGGGGTTGTAGGTTTGAATCATGATTAGCTCGGCTCCCCCTTGATTAATGCATCCTTTCCATCTTTGGTTCAATCCAATCTGTCAACTTGATTTGATGAGATTCTTCAGCCTAACAATCTCCCCCTAAGTTTAAGATTGCTGATTGACTCATTGAAACCTGCATACAAGAGCAGACACCTTTCCCAGAGCAACAAAAAGATGGAATCCACAAAAAAATGTTCTGAACAAATCTCATAACACAGTAATAACCATTCAAAAGCTGGTGAGACACGTCTTGCAAACCAAACTGCTAAGGCCAACACAAAAGCTGGTGAGACATGTCCAGCAAACCAGAAACAGACTATTCAATCAATCACTTCAACTGGTAAAACATGTCCAGCAAACCAGAAAGATAATCAGAACTCAAGTAACTCAATCAGATCCATAGATATCACGAATATCCTGCAAGGCAGCAAAGACCTCATCCAAAGGAGGTGGGTCAGTGGAGTCAGATGATTCTGAGTCAGATGAGTCTGACCCAGAAGTATCACTACTGATCCAGTTGACTTCTAAGTCATGACCATCACCACCTTTCTCAGGATCTTCTTCAGGATCCTCCTCAGCAGATTCTTCCTCTATTTTTGCATCATCCTCCCCCTCAACGATGTCATCCGCAATCTCATTAAGAATGTCATCCGCGTTCAGAAACACATTAGGAGTGGTGGTACGGAATGGATCAAGAGAAATCCCAAGGCGAAGAATGAGACGGGTGATGAGAGGGCCAAAGGGAAGATGTCCCAGATATTCAAACTGCTGAAAGGGATATAACCCTCCGAATAACAGATGACAGTAATCCAGAGGGACATTTGCAGTGGCATGAGTGATGATCCAGAGATCAAGGGGGGTGACTCTGTCAAGCAGTACAGTCCTAGGAAGGAACCTACGAGTGAGGAGAAAGTGAAAAGTACGCAGGGAAGGCAACAAAAAGGCAGAGGGGAGGGTGAGTAATGCATCAGGGGTGTGACCAGTGAGATGAACAAACTCATGTTCAATGTTGAAGTTGAAATGCACAAGTTCAGCCTCATTGGCAAGGACTTCTCCTACCCTAGGAATATGCAAGAGATGGCGGAGATGTTCAAGCGGGACAGTGACTAGATGGCCATACACAAGAGTGGTGAAGGTACAAGTGTGGAGTCCAAATGAACGAAAGTTTGAGTAGAACAACCGCACTGCTTCAGGACAAACATACTCAACAGGAGCAGCCATAAGAAAGTCCCAACCTAAGTTATGGAGATATTGAGAGACATCTAACCCATATTCTGCTAAGTCAGGAAAAGGAACATGATAGGTATGGATAATAGGGCGACGAGCAAAGGAAACAGCATGGCGATGAGAGTTTGCAGGAATGGGGTCATGAAATAGAGTACCTGTATACGTGCGAGAAAAACCTAGAACCATTGCAACTAGAAGCTTAGACTCTAAGAACAAGAGGATTGAATGAATGATACGAGACTCTACTAGACTCCCTTAAATAAGCTACCACAATAAGAGAAGGTAAGGTAAGTACTGACAAAACAAGAAAAAAAAACACAGACTCAAAACAAGAAAGAAAAGTAAAGGAAAGGGTCACCGAGAAATCAGTTAGGATTCTCCAAATGATCTGGAGATCTCAAACCAATTTCATAACAAAGGAAGGTGAATCGATCAGCATTCAAGGCTTTAGTTAATATATCCGCCAGTTGGTATTCAGTAGAGATATGACTAATATTAATAATATTCTGTTGAACTAAATCCCTTATAAAATGATATTTAATTTCTATATGTTTGGTTCTTGAATGCTGAACAGGGTTTTTGGACATGCAGATGGCGCTAGTGTTGTCACAGAAGAGGGGAATGGGTTCAGAGGACACATTGTAGTCTTTAAGTTGATTCTTAAGCCAAATGAGTTGAGTACAACAGCTGCCAGCAGCTATGTACTCTGCTTCAGCTGTAGAGAGGGCAACAGCACCCTGTTTCTTACAAGACCAAGAAACTAGGGAGGTTCCTACAAATTGACATGTTCCTGTGGTGCTTTTTCTATCAGTTAAACTGCCTGCAAAATCTGAGTCACTATATCCTAAGAGAGTAAAGTTGTCATGTTTAGGATACCAGAGACCAATATCTGGGGTTCCTCTAAGATACCTAAATATTCTTTTAACAGCCTTAAAGTGACTCTCCTTAGGAGCAGCCTGAAATCTGGCACAAAGACACACACTATGCTGGATGTCAGGTCTACTGGCTGTAAGATATAGTAATGAGCCAATCATGCCTCTATACTTGTTTTCATCTATTGGAATACCTGACTCATCCTTATCCAGTTTGAGGTTTACAGCCATGGGGGTGGGACAGGGTTTAACATTGTTCATATCAAACTTGGACAACATGTTCTGGAGGTATTTTGATTGATTTATGAAAATACCAGTTGAAGTTTGTTTGACTTGAAGTCCAAGAAAGAATTTTAATTCACCCATCATGCTCATTTCAAACATAGATTGCATAGTTTCACAGAAAGCAGTGCAGAGGGTAGGATCAGTTGATCCAAAAACTATGTCATCCACATAAACTTGAACCAACAAGATTTCTCCTGACTCATGTTTGATAAAAAGAGTTTTATCAATGCTTCCTTGAGAGAAGGAGTTATCTAAAAGAAAGGTTGTGAGGCGTTCAAACCAAGCTCTGGGAGCTTGTTTGAGTCCATACAAAGCTTTGTTGAGTTTGTAAACATATTCAGGATGTTCAAAGTCGATGAATCTAGGAGGTTGTGCAACATAGACTTCCTCCTGAATGATTCCATTTAGAAAAGCACTCTTAACATCCACTTGATATAGAGGAAATCCTAGGTGACTAGCAAAAGCACACAGTAATCTGATTGACTCAAGTCTAGCAACAGGGGCAAAAGTCTCATCGAAGTCTATTCCTTCTTCCTGAAGATATCCCTGAGCAACAAGCCTAGATTTGTTTCTAACAACTATTCCCTCTTCATCAGATTTATTTCGATAAATCCACTTAGTTCCTATGACTGTGACATTTTCAGGTTTAGGAACTAAATCCCAGACATGAAGATGTTCAAATTGAGTTAGTTCTTCTAATATAGAGAATCCCCATTCCTCATCAAGCAATGCTTCTTTAATATTTTTAGGCTCAAACTGGGAAACAAAGGCATATTGACCCGGAGTATACTTACCTCTGGTTTTTAGGCCATCATTCAGCTTGCCAATGATCAGATTTTCTGGATGCCTTCTTTGTAAGTGTGGTGGAGCCTGAGGAACTTGTGAAGTATCTTGTGAGTCAAGCGAAGGTTCTTCCATGTTTGATGGTGTCACTATTTTCTCGTTATGATCCTGTTCACTAGAGAAATCTTGACCAGATGAAGTCGGTTCATTTAAATCAAAGTGTAAAGTCTCATCATGTACCACAAAATCTGATTCATTGAACTTGACATGAACTGATTCTTCTACTTTCTTAGTTCTTTTATTGAAGATTCTATATGCTTGTCCTTTGGATGAGTATCCCAAGAAAATAGCAGAATCTGATTTGGCATCAAATTTTCCAAGGTTGTCTCTAGTGTTGAGAACAAAGCAAGGACAACCAAAAGGATGAAAATAGGCAATGCTAGGTGTTTTTTCTTTTAGTATCTCATAGGGAGTTTTATTAATTTGCTTACGAACTAAGACTCGGTTTTTAGTGTAACAAGCAGTGTTGACAGCCTCCGCCCAAAAGTGTTTAGGAAGATTGTAGTCAAGCAACATAGTCCTGGCACACTCTATGAGAGTTCTGTTTTTTCTCTCAACAACTCCGTTTTGTTGAGGAGTTCGAGGGGCAGAAAAGGTGTGTTTTATTCCAAAATCATCACACAGGTTTTCAAAAAGTTCTGAAATGAACTCCCCACCATTATCACTCCTGATGTTTTTTATGTTGAAGTTGAGTGAAGCAAGAAAGATTTTGAATTTTTTAAACGTTTCATCTTTATGAGATAGAAAATACACCCAATAAAACCTAGAAAAGTCATCTACCAACACAAAAACGTAGTTCTTACCACCTAGGCTGCTGACATTACAAGGACCAAACAAGTCCATGTGAGTGAGTTCATAGGGGCAAGTAGTAGTAATGTCTGGTTTGGCTTTGAAACTCTTACGTTTATGTTTACCAGCAGCACAGGCATTGCAAAATAACTCAGCTTTATCCTTAAGTTTGGGAACTCCTCTAGCTAGACTAAGTCTAGATAGAATGGCAAGTTTTCCAAGACTAACATGACCTAACTTTTTATGCCATAGAAACTCAGGAGAGATGGATGAAGCAGCAAAACATGTTTCGTTGAACAGACTGAGATCTGAAAGATCTACAATGTACATGTTACTAACCCTTTTTCCTACAAAAACAATCTTGTTTTCTTTAACATTTTCAACCGTGCACCTGGTATTCTCAAACACTATTCTATTACCATTACTGCACAATTGACTGATGGATAACAGATTGTGTTTAAGACCCTCAACCAGGAGCACATTTTTTATAACAGGATTTGGATTTCTCCCTATGCATCCAGAACCAATTATAGTACCCTGATTATCATCACCAAAAGTCACTTTACCCCACGTTTTAAATTTAAGGAATTGAAGAGATACTTCTTACCAGACATGTGGTGGGAACACCCACTATCTAAATACCATTGGGTTTCTGCAGTAGGTGGACAATGTGGTCGACTGGTTTGTAGTGAGAGTTCTGCTTCTTCAGGATTTTTGATGAATGCCATGTAACCTTCTGCATCTTCATTAAATTCTTCAGTGTCAGACTCGTAGTCACTCCAAGATGCCTTCATTGCCTTCTCTTTAGCCTTCAGAGTTAGAGGGCAGTTGGCTCGAATGTGGCCAGGCTTCCCACACTTGTAACAGTCCTGAACTTCTCTGTCCTGATTACCTGCATTGCTTATTCTGGTCTGCGGTTGTCGCAGCCTATCTTGAGAGAAACTTTTGGATTTGTCAGAGTGATTTGAACTACCATATTGGTGATTCCTATCACTAGTTCTTTGTTTGCGATCATTTCTAAGTTTAAGCATTCGATGAAATTTGCTGCTAATCAACGCAAATTCCCTATCAAAGTCACTTCCCAGCTCACTTTCTGAGTCATAATCTACAACTTGGGATTTAAAAGCTAGAGATTTCTTCCTTTTCTCATCCTCCTTACTGACTTGTTGCATAACATGCTCATGACTCATTAAGGACCCTATGAGTTCATTAACTGGTAACAGACTTAGATTGCGAGCTTCTTCAATAGTTGTTCTTTTAGGTAACCATTCCTTAGGTAGAGATCTTAATATCTTCCTGTTTAGATCTTTTGACTCAAAAGTCTTTCCCAGCCCTTTCAATTTGTTAATTAAAATTGTAAAACGAGAGAACATTTCATGAATATTCTCACCTGGGTTCATGTTGAAGCTTTCATAGTCGTGGATCAGCAGATCAATTCGAGACTCTTGATGTTCGATGATCCCTCGTAGGTGTTCTCGAGCGAGACCCAAATTTCATGAGCAGTTTCGCAATTTTCCACCATGTCTGCTTCGTCGGATGCCATCGCCGATTAAAGAATGTGCATTGCTCTACGATTCAGTTGCGCACTCTTCTTTTGAGCGGTTGACCAGAGATGTTGCTCTTCCGGTGCCATTTGGATTGGCCCATCACGAACCACAATCCAGAGCTCCTCATCTACTCCCCAGAGAAATGTTATCATCCTCTTCTTCCATGCGGTGTAGTTTGATCCTGTGAACATCGGCGGATGATTGTAGGAGGCATGCCCAAAGCTGGTGTTCGCCATTTCGAGTGGATCTTTCCTTGGCAGCGATGAGCTCGAGCAAGGACCTTGCTCTGATACCACTTGTGAAATGGCGATCCTCCTTCTTCGATTTAGGGATTTGAATCGTCGATTTGGGAATGAGAGTGAAAGACGATGACTGACTCAGTAGGCTGATCAGTGTTATTGATCGAATGGGAACGAATGGGCCCAATGACAATTAGGCCCGCAACTCAGTAGTAGAGCTTAGGTGGGCTTAAAATAAACGGGCCCAGGGCTTTCTTCAGAGAAGAGACGAAGAGCAATCTTCTTCTTCTTCTTCTTCCCTGATTCAGCTTTGCCTTCGAACAGAGCACCAACGAACAGAGTACTGCTGAGGCAGTAGAGAAACAAGAAGCAGAAAAAGAAAGAACACAGCGAGATTTTTAATGAGGTTCGCCACTGGGCTACTCCTCGCCCCGGAATAGTACTCACTATTCCGAGAGACTCTTTTGATTTTCTTTGACTATAAAGAAGAAAGAAGAACGACGCAATTACAACGAATGTGAAAATCAAAGAGCTTGACACAAGACCCGAAT